TATTCCAAAAGTATTTTTGGAAAAAATGTTTACATATTTGATATTTCCAGATAATTTTAACAGTTTGCTTTTTATTTTCATGCATGCATAATGCATTTTTACAGAATTTCTCTCATTAATGTAACCATTTGACTCCTATTATTCAGGAAATTTTAATTTTTTCCAAAAGTAAAGCACATATGTGTGTGTGTGTGCACGTGTGCGTGTAATTTGTTTTGCTTTTTATGAATTTTTTCCTTAGACTATTTTCTCTGATATTTTTTAATAGTTGAAGAAAACCAAAACATTGTTAAGAGAAGTGTAACTGCTATTAAAGCTTCGTTGATGTTTAGGATGTTTCCTAATTGTCAAGCATTCGAATGAATTTGCTATATGTAAATTTATGACTCTTTACTAATTTTCCTTCTCTCAAAAATCAGTTTTTATTGTTTTATTTTTCATAAGTTTATATGTGGTATAACATTTTTATTATCTTAAAGAACAATAAAATATCCCCCTTCTGTTATTCAGTTATAATTTTTATCTCTAGCTATCAAACCAAAAAACAAGATTAAGTTTGAAGTCTACCATTTTCCTTTCAGTTCATTGTGGAACTCACTGAAAGTTTCACTATGTAACATGTATTTCAGAGCTCTATGAATTAAGTCAAAATGTGTGCTTCTAAATCTGTGTAAATCTTTTAATACTAAGTATTTTTAATTGTTTTATAGGTTTACATTTGAACTTGGGAAGTGCCATTAAGAAAGATTATGAACATCTCTGGGAGACTGTATCAAAGTTGGTAAGGAAGTTTGATGTGGGAAAGCCATTTCCTGTGAGAACAACCAAACTTCAGTTTCTTGAAAAGACTCCATCATCAATCAAAGGTAATAGATTTGTGATTTAATTTGAAATAAAAGCATTATTCCTCTGAAAATGTTTTCAAAACAGAACAAATTCAATGTTCAAGTATAAATAAAATTCTGATGCTATGCATTTTTATAATTATCATACCCTTGGAGTTGTGTGCTATGGTTGTAATTTGAAGATTTATGTTTTGCTTCTAATTGATGTTGCTACTGTTTTTCCCTTCAACCAATACGTATAAGTGGCACATATATTCATAAGTATACAGCGATATTTCAGTTTATGGATTTAATTCATTCCAGGATTCTGGCTGCAAACTGAACTGGACCAGAACTGAATAAAATTTTCCCATTAGATCAACACTAAGCCTAACAATTGAATTGATTGAGTGGTGTGAGTCTTTATTCCTGGCACTTAAAAGGCTAAGGCACAGAGGACACTGTGCAATGTAATGAGATGGTTTGCAAATAAAAACAAAAACAAAGAAAATATAAACAACAGGGTATCTCAGGGCCCAAGGAATGAAGCAGCCCTTCGTGACAGTCAGGGCCTAGGTCATTGCTGCCTTGGGAGCATTTGCTCTGTCAGTGGTTCAGAGTCCTGGAACCCAGCTTCCCTGGGAGGGGACAAGAGAGAAGGCCAGGAGGGAGGGGCTGCTGTAACTGACATCTCCACACAAAGCCAGGATTCTTGGAGCAAACCTTGAAGGCTAGATCTCTCAGGACCTGCTTTTCAGCAGAGGAAGGTGACAAACAAATCTCACCGGGCCTGGAACAAAATGAAATACTCTGATAATTTGGGGTTTCAGTTTAAACTGTTGGTAAGGTCAAAGCAACTCTGAGCCAGAAAATTAACCTAAAGGGATACAAGGGATCTGCAAGTTCTTATGAGGAACTTTATAAATCCTTGTTTTACGGAATTTTCCATCAAATAAGAATACAAATACAAATTTATTTAAAAAATTGAGGAAATAAGTCAGAATTGTAAACCATAGTACTAGAACTCTTAAGCATAGTATTTTATATATTATAATTATCATAACTATTACATATAGATTATGTGTGTTTTAAAATATTTAGCAAATTAAATGTGAATTCTGAGAATGAGACAATAAGTAGAGACTTTTAAAATGCCATTCATATTTTAAAATAATCAAACTTAGAGAAGTAAAATAAAAAGAAGAAAATATATCATGTACAGCTACAAGCTCCCTATGATGAATATTATCACTATGTATATCTAAAATGTACCAATAAAATAAAACAAAACCAAAATTTAAACAATATATGTACTTTAAAAAATCAAAATTATAAAATGAGAAAAAGAAATAAAAATATTGTCAATGAATAGGATAGAAAGTTGAATGGATATTGGTAAAAGGAGAATTTACACGCTTGAAATAGATGGAAAGAATTGCTCAGAGATGGTAAAAATCATTATGCCACGTTAAATAAATGAGAAATGGAAAGAAAAATATTGCATGATACCCCTTAAAGATGCAATCTGAGAAAGAATTAATATATGCAAACAAAGAACGTAGCGTACAACATTACCTGTGATGTGGGCAGGTGTGTTGCAGGATGGGGAGATGTAGGTCAGAGGGTAACAAATTTGCAGGTGTGTAGGGTGATAAACATAGATAGCTACTGTGTACATGAGGCCTGCCATTAAAATGTTGAATATTGCACTGTATACTATTAAGTTGGAAAGAGTAGAGATTTTAGTCACACAGCACAAAATCAAAGAAATAAAGAAAAATAAGAGTAGTAATAAATGAGGTGATGATATAGTGCCTGAAATGCTAGATGAGACACTCGAAATCTTTTTATATAATTATAGTTAATCTCAAAGAGGTGCTAGGCCTTAAATACATACAATAAAAAATTTAATAACACATAGAGATGCGAACTAATATGAAGGATGGGAAGAAGTCTAACCTTTGATCATTTTTGGAGATTCAGGAGAGAATGAGCTAATATAGGTTGGGCAACTTTTAAAGAAACAATGACTGGGCATTCACCTGCATTGATAAAATACAAGAATCTGTACAGTCAGGATATATTATGAATCCCAATGTGATAAATTAAACAAATATACACTCACAAACAAAAACATATATTAGACAAAATATGGCAAAATTGTAGAATGTCAAAAATTAACAAATATGTTAAAAGAACCAAACTTATCCAAAGGAACAAAAATTATTCTAGTGACAGACTTCCCATTAACAATGATAAATGTCAGTTTACAATAGAAGTACATATAATTCACATATAATACAGTCATCATTTAAAATTGAGTAATACATAATATATACCCTCAGATAAATAAAACTTGATTTACTCATCAACACTGAACCACTGAAAATATTCCTGTATGAAGAATTTCAGGAAGAAGAAAATGATCCAGAAGAAATATGAGAAGAAAGCTATGGGGAACTTAGGGTTTGTTGGTAGAAGGATATTTTTTTAGATATATAGAGAAGAACATACATAATTTCTTTTTTATCAAAATATGTTCCATCTGACAAAGACCATTGAATTCAAATAGTTTATTGGTCCCATGAAGATCCAATATGGAAGCATTAAATAAAAACTGGAAGTATATAGGACATACTGATTAATAAGTTTCCACTGTGGGCAACTACATAAATTTCTCTGAGAACCTCAACTGTACAAGTTGCCTTGGAGGTGTCTTACTGAAAAGCAAGATAGCTGAGATATTTATCATCCAACTCCTGTCATGATGTTGGAAGAGGATTGCCCTTAACATTTCTACCCTGGTTCACATGGGCATGTGCAGAAGAGTACTAGGCAAGGTTTCAGGGGCTTGCAAGAGGAAGATGTCAGGACAAAAGCAGTCCCACTGAACACTGGCAGGACAGCAGACAGAGCAGTTGCAGTTTACCTGGAGTTGTGAACCAGACATTGAATAAAAACTCATTCACTAGCCCATTTCAGTATTATCAGATACATCCTATCTATCTGTCTGTCTGTCTGTCTATCTATCTCTCTATCTTCATCATCATCATCATTGATCAACCATCTATCTATATATCTATCATCTATCTACTCATCTATCTAGCTGTCTTTCTGTCCATCCACTATGTGTGTGGGTTTGTAAAATCAAAGAGGACCCAAAGGAGTACTGTAATGGTAACAAATAATTTCTTTGCCACTTTTATTTTTCCCTACTTTTCCATTTTCATCAACGTGTGTGCATGTATTACCTTTCTGAGTGACACTTCCATTTTAAAATTTCTTGTTTCACAATAGGGAATAATAAAAGAAACAAATATTTGATTTTTTTTTGTCCTGAAGGGAGATTGAACTGAATGGTTTCTCACTGAGTTACTCCCCAGTCTATTTTAAATTTTTATTTTGAAACAGGGTCTTCCTAAGTTGATAAGTTGCCCAAACTGGGCCTTAAATTGTGATTTTCATGCCTCAACTCCCTAGACTGCTGGGATTATAGATATATATATCACTACATCCTGCTAAGAAATACATTAGAAAATAAGAAGCAGAGGTATATATGTAACTATTTATCAACTCCTCCACCCATCTACCCACTTTTGTGCCTAAATATTGTCTTATTTTTTCATATTCTGCTGTGTTCCAAAATGTTTAAATATTGGAAATATTTTTATGGGATGGGCTGGAATTTATAAATGTAAGGAAAATCATTTTTAATGTGAAGTTTCAGAAAAGAATATACAAATTTCCTGTATGAAAAATTTACATTTGACCTTATCTTAATATTTTGTTTACAGACAATTCCAAGGAAAAGATGCCTACTTTGGGTTTTATTCCAATGTCATCTCAAATGGTTGATAAATTTGTTGGAGACATTTTGAAAGATTTACCTTTTCTAAGGAGGTAATGAGCTAAAAATATACTTCAATAAGTGTTTATATGGGATCAATGAGCTATTTATTAAGGCTTGTTTGAAATGCAACAGATTAGAGTGCATTAATGTAGTATATGTTTGTAATGCATAATGAATTTAACGTCCAAAATGTCAATGCCCTTTGAGTAAATTGTGAAAACATCTGTATGATTTTAACCTTATTGTAAACAACTCCAAGTACATGTTTCTAATTAGTTAATTAATAGTGAATGTTTATTGATGTTGTTAGGACAGTTAGAGATGTCAGACGGTTTAGGCTTCTTGAGCCGTAATAAACTCTTCTTTGGGTTCTACCACCCACGTTGTATCCCAGAAGGAGGAAGGGAGATATGGACTTCAAAATTATTATTATTAAATGAAATCTGTGCTGTGTTGTATGAGGAAACATATGCAATGTACAATGTGCATTTCTCACTCACAGTGATGATCCTATTGTAACGTCGCTGGTTAAACAGAAGGAGTTCGATGAGCTCGTGCACTGGCATTCTCACAGACCCCTTAGTGACGATTATGATCGGACTAAAAGCAACTTTGCTGGTGAGTTCTGAGACTTAGTCTATTTTATTGTCTGCCTTCTATTTTTAGACAAAAATGATCGCATTTTCAGCCAGAAATTAAATATTTTAAATAAGAATGGTGTGCAAGATACCTTGATGTACATTAGGAAAGACAATAAAGAAAATACCCTTTGTTCATACGTAGGTTCAGAGTTGGAAGCACACAAATATGGCCCCTGTCTCCATAAGAGCTAGGCCCTGGAAATTCTTATCAGCCTGCTTATGTCAATGTGTCAGAATCCTATAAGATGTGAGGTGCTATGGTAGATTAGCTATTCACGACTTTCTAAGTGGTTCAGCTTGGTATGTTTAGATTCTGACAGAGAAATAAACCAGCATAGCTATGCATGCAGGTAAGTGTTGCAGACTTTCGGAGGGTGTGGGAGTAAGTCAGACCTTGATTGTTGGGCCTTCCTGTGCCATTGGGTTTTTCCCAAGGTGCCAAGCTCACGTTTTGCATTCAGAATAGAACTTTTTCTACTCAGTGATGTGAGAAGTCAGAATAGCTTAGATTATTTTCTTCTTGATTCTGCCTGTACTTTCTTCTAAACCTAATTTTTAGGGTACATGACAGAAGTAATGAAGAATAAAATCATATTTATTTTATTAATATGGCATTTGTTGTAGTACCTCAAATTTTGCTTTTGGAAGTAGGCCATGAAAAAAAATGTTGTTACCTCTATCCTTTAAGTAAGATACAAAATTATTCTACACTCAAGAAATGGTCTGAATTAAAATTTCCTGTTTGGGAAAAGTAATCAGTTAAATTAGTGTTCCATACTAGAAACCAAAGTATACCTTAGTGTGGGATATTGTGAAGGGTTAGTGGCAAAGCTGATGAAAAACACAGTCATGTTATGTTTTAAATCTTCTCTTTTTCAGAAAAGTCTAATGACCCTCGTTTTCATAGAAACTTACAAAAATATCGTCTTTTTCAACGGTTTTATGGGAATTCATTAGACCCAATCCCTTCAAAGCTCATTGTGACCCAAAGTATAAAGCAGCAGAAGAATTTTAATGAGGTCAAGAGGAAAAAGGCACATGTAAGGTTCTAGAAATTCTACCCATGTTTAGTTAACTTTTCTTAAGTTACTATTTGTTCAACCCTGTGGTAGTTGCTTTCGGCAGGAGTCCTTTCTTTTTATAAGGACTACTTATCATTTTACCTACATGGTAAGAATGTCTAACCTGTACGTAAAAAGTCTTATGTGGTCTTCTACCATAATAACACATACATTAGTTGGAAACAAATACAGATTTTGGAACGTTGAAGTAATATTGAAAATACAGTTATTTACTAGTAAACAACAATAAAAATTGTTTTTACCTATGTGGTAAAATGGATAGAAATGCTAATCTGCTTTTTAGGGGGCTTGAATCATACATATAACTTCACTTTTCCAAAAAGGTATTTATATAATTAATGAATCTGACTCCTTGTTTCCTCATTTTCTTTTTCCTTCTTGGAATGCCATTTTTCAAGCCAAGGACAACTATCAAATATGAATTGCTAAGAGTAAATTAGGAAAGTTTATTTATTATTTATTTTATTAATATTTTTATTGGTACCTGTCTGCAGTACATAATGCTTATATTCCTCACAAAGAGTTGGTGCGTGTACATAACACATTTTGTTCCTTTTTTCATCTCTTCTCTCTCCTTTTTTCTCCCCATCCTTTCATCTTTTGGTCCTCTTCTCAGTTGAGAAAGGTCTAGCTCCCTATGTGGATTTCTCATACAAGAGACATCATTTGATATTAAGCTTGAGTGTCTGTCTTATTTCACTTAATATTGTGATCTCTGGGTTCATCCATTTTCCTACAGATGACTCAGATTTATCTTTCTTTATGGCAGAGTAGTGCTGCACTATGTGTAAATATCACATTTTGTTTATCCATTCATCTGTTGATGGAAACATAGGCTACTTCCAAGATTTAGCATTGTGAATTGTGCTACTGTAACATGGGTATGCATGTGACACTGTAATACAATGTCTTTAACTCTTTTGGAAAGATACTGTGTCAAATGGAATTTCTATTTTAAATTTTTTGTGAAATCTCCATATTTATTTCCATAGTGGTTATACTAGTTTGCATGTTCCCCAAAAATGTAAAAGGGTACCTTCCTCCCTCCCCAGTGCACCCCCCCTCCAGCATTCGTCATTCTTTGATTTCTTGATGATGGCCAGTCTTTCTGGGGTAAGATAGAATTGCAGTGTTGTTTTAATTTGCATTTCTCTAATGGCCTGTGGTGTTTTTAATGTGTTAATTGGCCATTTGTACTTATTTCTTCAGTGAAGAGTATATTCATTTCATTTGCTCTTTTTGGACAGGGTCTTTTATTTTGGGAGTCTAATTTTTTTATTATTATTTTTGTGTGTGTGTGTGTTTGAGACAAGAGTCTAGCTGTGTGTTTTATGCTGGCCTTGAACCCTGTACAGTATGTAGCCTATGCTGGCCTTGCACTCATGGAATACTCCTGCCTCAGCCTCCCAAGTACTGAGATTACTAGCATGCACCACATCACTTGGCTTGATTTCTTTGTATATTCTAGATATTAGTCTTCTGCTTAAGGAACATCTGGAAAGATTTCTTTTTCATTCTGAAGGTTTTTTTTTTCATTCATTTGTTTCTTTTGACATGCAGAAGCCTTTTAATTTAATATGATTCTATTTGCCCATTCTTGCAGTTCATTTTGTACAATTGGGGACTTCAAGAGTTTTACCTATTTTATCTTACAACAGGTTAAGTATTTTTGTTTTAACATTTAGTTCTCTGATCAATTTTGATTTTAATTCATTACATGGTGAGAGGAATGGATCTGTATTTAATATTCTGCATGTGGATAGTCAATTTTCCCAGCTCCATTTATTAAAGAGACTATCTTTCCTCCAGCGTATGTTTTTGGCCCCTTTGTTAAAAATCAAATAGTGTAACGAATGTGTTTGGAGTTTTTTCTGCATCCTCTATTATGTTCCATTGGTCTTCACCTGTTTTTGTGCCAGTACCATGCTGTTTTTTTTTTTTTGTAAACCACTGCAGTTTGTAATATAACTTCAAATCCAAAACTATGATGCCTCTCATTATGCTCTTGGTACCTAAGATTGCTTTTGCAATTTTGTGTTTTTCCTGATTCCTCATGAATTTTAGAGTGTTTTTTTCCAGTTCAGTGAAGAATGCTATTGGTATTTTGATTGAGATTGCAATAAATCTGCTTATCAATGTTGAAAGTAAGGTCACTTTGACTTCATTGGTTTTGAATATCCAGGAACAGGGGATATCTTCTGATTTTCTGATGTCCTCTTTGATTTCCTTTTTCAGAATAATTTCGTTTTCCCTGTAGAGGTCTTTTACTTCATTTGTTAGGTTAGTTCCTAAGTATTTAATTTTTCTTGGTGTTACTATGAATGCTATTTTTTTGTAATTTTTCAGTGGGTTCATAAGTAGTGCACAGGAATGCTATGGATTTTGGGAGGTTGACTCTGTATCCTGCTACATTGCTGAACTTACTTATTAGTTTTAGGCCTCTTTTGGTGTTTTTTTTTTTTAATCTTTTCTTGCCTAATTGCTCTTGCCAGTGTTTTGAGTACTATATTGGAAACTCATTTCTTTTAGGGTCTGAAACACTTTTTTCAGGCTCTTCTGGCCAAAGGTTTGTGTTGAGAAGCCTGGACTAATTGTAATGGGTTTAACTCTATAAAAGATTCATTGGTTTTCTGTAAGTGCTTTTAAGATTGTGTTCTTTCTTGGACTTCTGAGATTTTGACTATGATGTTTCCTGGAGATTCTGGAGAGTTTTTTTTTTTTTTTTTTCTTATTGTGGATGCTTGGGGTTCTATATGCGTCACTTATCTATATGTTAAAATTCTTCACCTTATTTGGAATGTTTTATGCTATTATTTCAGTAAATAAGGTTTTTATGTCATTTATGCTGCCTTCTGATTTTTCACTAGTTCCAATTAATCTTAAATTAGTCTTCTTTGTGCCATCTAGAAGCTCTTGAATCCATTTTTCATGTTCTCTTGTTGTTTTTAAGGTATTTCTAATTGATTAGTCACCAACAATAGGCAGACCTTGTAGCTCTGAAACTCTGTGCTCACGTTGCTCATTTCTGCTGCCCATACTTTTGATGGAATTTTTTTTTTTTTTGTATCATGGATTGAACTCGGGACCTTGTGCTTGCAAGGCAGGTGGCGGCACCACTGAGCTAAATCCTCAGCCCATTGATAGAATTTTTAATCAGTTGAATTTCTATTTGGAACCTTTTAATGGACTCCAATTTTTTTTATCCTGGTCATGTGTTGCATCATGTTTTAATTCTTCTAGCTTGCTTTTAGTGTCTTTTGTAAACTTGTTGGTCATTTTGTTTATTTGTCCCATTGTCTGTTTATTTATATCTTCTCTGAGTTTGTCAAGAGCCTTATTGATCTATTTTGTTATCTCCTTTTTTATTCTGTCAAATTATTTTGCTGTTTGGGTTTTGGTTTCCTCTTCAATGTCCCATGCATAAGCTTTGGGTTAGGCATTTTGTGGCCTTGTCTTTTCATGTTTCCATTTTAAAAAATTTATTGAGTTTTGTTGATGCTTGTGAGCTGATTATAGCAGCAAGATTGGTTGCTAGGATAGAGAATTTTTTGGTTAATATCTACTTTCAGTGGTGACCTCTGTGTATGGCTATTGGCCTTGTCTCTATCCCAGGGTCCAACCATCTCTGAGTATTTGCAGAGGTAGCTTGCAGTATATTTGGACCAGTGCTCAGCTTTCCTGGTATGGGCCACAGTATTGTTAATAATCCCAAGACAACTCAGATATTGGAATCCCAAGAAAATCAATTAATAACAGCAATTATGTCACCTTGGCTATACTAATAACATCAGGGGGAATAATAGTGTCGAACACAAACTGGATATTGACAGAGCCCAAGGATCAATAATGTACTACCCTTAATCATAGAAAAGAGGTCTATAATTATAGTATGAACACTAAGAAACCCCAGATATTGACCTACTATTTATCTACAGTAGATATCTACAAAATGGATCTCCAATGTTATCTCCACTAACAATAGAACAGTATTCAACAGTAATAGCATCAGTGGGGTAGTTACTTAGAGATTTACAAAGCTTAATAGTTCTACTTGCAAAGGTGGAGGGTTTAAGAAACTGGAGAATGAAGAGATAAATTGTGAAAACTTGACCAATGGGATATAAGAAGGAAGAGAGACAAGTAAGATGTGGTTTTTCTTGAGGCGTAAATGAAATCAATAGTGTTGGAAAGCAGTCATGGGTATAAATGAACAAGAAAAAAAGAGAAAATGAAAACAGCAAGTAAAATAAAGAAAATGAAAGAAAAGAAGGCAGAGAAAAAGAAGTTGAAAGGGAAAAAGAGAGAAAAGAAACTAAAGAGATTAAAAATATGAAAAAGGGATAAAAAGACTAATCCTTCAGAAAAATGAATGGACAGAGAAAAAGAATTAAAAATAGAAAAGTTAAAGAAGTTTGAAAGAAAAAATTCTTCTTTTTTTCTTTCTTTCTTTCTTTCTTTCTTTCTTTCTTTCTTTCTTTCTTTCTTTCTTTCTTTCTTTTTGGTACCAGGGATCGAACTCTGGTCTTTGCGATTGTGAGGCAGGTGGTGGAACCACTGAACTAAATTCCCGGCCCTTCTTGTGTTTTTTAAAATAAGTGATTTCTTTCTAGGACTTGCAGTCTTGGAATGCAGACAGTGGTGAATTTCTTTGCCTAGTTTTATGACTTAAGGATTTTTGAAGTGCCTCCCTATACCAGCAGCCCCTCTGTCCAGTCACTCCAGACTGGTTACAGTCCAAGGCACTGTGTGTTCTTGCTTACACTGGTAGATATGAAAGGTGATCAGATCCCGGGTCTGAAATCTGATGAATGTAGGCTTCTCTCTCCAGGTATCATCTTCATCCAGGATCAGGTTGGTTGGTTAGTCTGCACCTCTACTGCCACATGCCAAGGGGGAGCAAAATGTAGAGCCAGCTTGGAACTGGTGGATGGTGGTGCCTTTTTTTTTTAGTTTTAATGAGATATTTCACATAATATAAAATGTTTTAGTCACTTTCTTTTCACTGGGCCAAAATATCTGATACCCACAACTTCAAGGAGAGTTTTATTTTGGCTCACGGTATCAATCCATGGTGTTCTGGCTGCAAGGCAGAAGCTGGATGGCATAGACGGATGGCAGAGGAAAATATACTTAACCCATGGTAGCCAGGAAGCTGAGAGAGAAGGGAGGAGCTGGGGAGGGGGATATACCTTGCTTGCTTGTGCTGGAGGCTCTGTGAAGGCAGAAAGTTTGTACTGATTTCTGGAATAAAACTATTAAAAGCTTATGTGAAAATTATCAGTGAACATTTGTTATATTAATAACTAAGTATAGATAATTGTGTTAACAGCAATATATGTGGCATATATATCCCATGTTTATAGTAGTACAGTTTGTAATAGCAAAAACTTGGAAACAGCCCAATTGCCCATCAACTGGAGAGTGGATAAAGAAGATGTCATTTTTTTAGGGCCGGAGATTTAGCTCAGTGGTTTTGCTGCCTGCTGCGCAAGTGCAAGGACCCGAGTTTGATCCCCAGTACCAACAACAACAAAAAAGAAGATGTCTTTATATATATATATATATAATACAGTACTACTCAGGCATGAAAAGTGAGAAACTTGAATTATTATGCTTGGTTCTTATTTTTTCCCCATTAGCTGTGCACCTTTCACCCCTCCAGCCTTCCCTATTTACAGAGACTTTGTTCCCATTTTTTCATATTAACTCCAGTCCCTTCTTTCCATTCCCCTATCCCTCCCACTTCCCCTTTGCCCCTTTTCATCCTATTTCACATTATCTATTATACCTTTTGGTCCTTATTTACACTTTCAGTTTCTCACACTAGGGAAACTATTTGGTATTTGCACGTATGTGTCCTATTTATTTCACTTAAGAGTATGGCCTCAATGTGCATCCATTTAACTATAAATGTCTAGTTTCTCACTCTTCATTTAAACACTGGGAAAACTCAAGTATTATTGATTAGAATTAAATACTTAGAGAGAAATGACAGTTAAATTTGCTTCATTATAGTAAAATATTTACATGTTAATTCAGTGAGTAACAAGGGTAGTGGAAAGTTTGTCAAAATTTTCTTGTTAGTTCTCTAAGCTTGTTTTTATTGAATAATAAATCAGGCTGGTAAAACTGTAGTAAAATTGTCATCCAGTGTATAAATCAATTTGAAACATTATCTAGATAAAGCAAATCATTTTTGTTTGTCCTTCTATATTTGCTTTTCTTTGATAATCTTTCTCTTTCCTCATTTACTTGTCAAAAATTGTGAACTAAATGGTTTGTGCTTGGACATAAAGAACATGGCATAATCCTGTCTCAAGGATCTCAGTATAGAGAAGAACACCAGAAAAACTATACACAAATACAATTATATGTAGTAAAACAAGTACAACTTTAGTTCATGTTGATTAGGGCTAGTGGATGACCAGGTAAAGGAGGAACAAATGACTGATGCTTGAGAGAGTGAGGGCTTCATGGTGGAAATATCTTAACAAAATAGGAAATAGAAAGTGACTTTGGAGGAATGGAAGAGGGAAGGTAATTTCAGAGAGAGTAACAGTTACTACTGCAATAAATAGCAGTAGTCTGATGTCTATTTATTTTCTTTTTTTAAATAAATGACAACATTTAAAAATTTAAAAATTATCTGCAGAGAGACTTTTTACTCACTAAATTAAATTGTGTTTTACTTCAGATTGAAACCCAGGTTCTTCACACTGAGTTACATCTCTACACTTCTTAAAATTAAACAAAATTTTATCTGAAATTTTGAGACAAGTTCTTGCTGACTTTCTCAGTTTTTCAAGCTGAGCTTGAACATCCAGTCTTCCTTTCTCAACCTCCCAGAGAGCTATGGATATAGGCATAGGCCACCCCACTGGTCTGAACTTTTTTTAAAATTGGTTTTTATTTTTAAATTGGCACATAATATTTGTAGTCATTTATGAGGTACAGTATTAAAATTTGATACATGTACATACTGTGTAATGATCAAATCAGGGTAAGTAGCATGTATATCTCAGATAATATTATCATTTTAGTAGGTTGAGAACCTTCAGACTTCCTTTCTAGTTACTTTGAAATGTGTAAATAGTTGTAGATGTTAGTTACTCTACTACAGAAGCTTAATTTTTAAAAAAGCCATTTTAGGTCTAATGCCTATTAAAGAATAAGATGATAATCAAATCATTAATTTGCATTTAAAAATATTGTTTCCTGTAATGTCATCTTGGAATATTTTGAACTTGTTGCAAGATATGTTTCTTTCTTTTTGGGCAGGAGACCAAAGCAGAAATAATTGCAAGAGAGAATAAGGAGAGGATATTTGCCAAGGAAGAACAAAAAGATGAGCAAAAATGGAAAGCTCTATCATTGTCTATTAAAGAAGAAATGACAAAGAATTTAAACTCTGGAGTAAAGGACTTGGAAGACTTTTTGAAGTCATGTAAAAGTAACTCAGTGAAAGTTCGAGTTGAAATGGTTGGTCTTACTGCCTGCTTGAAAGCATGGAGAGAACACTGTCGAGGTGAAGGTACGTGATTGTGTTTTCTTATCTGGATGAAGTGGACAACTAAAGAAATGTTATGATAATAGTAGTCATTTGTTAACTGGAAATTTGTGTTAGATGACTTATGTGCATTATCTGATTTTATTAAGTATTATTATCTCCATTTTATGAATCTCAATTTTATCAATGAACAATTACATTTCAGTAGCAAATACAGAGCATAGTCATAAACACAATCAAAGACAGGTTTTAAAATAGCTACCTCTCAGGTAGTAGCACGATTATGGGAACCAACCAACGCAGTGAGGCACCCAGGGAGAATCTATCATTCTCTTTTATATTCTGAAGCATAAATATTTTCTTTCTGTGGAAAGTGATGTTCATGTTTGTCTACCATGAGGAGTTCTCCCAGAGATGCTGTATATTCCATGTGCTCTAAAATACAATTTCTACAGCAGAGAGTAGAAATGCAAAAGAGAAAGAGAAAGGAAGTGTGACATAGGAAGTGGTAGAGAAACATATGTAAATTAATAACAGGGAAATGATTATGTTTCATAATATGTCCAACATGACAGTCTGTTAGAGTCAACCTGGTTGACGTCAGTCTTGAGATGTCCACACTTGAATCTTTAACACATGATACTCACATTCTCTCCATCACACAATCTCCCTCCAAGATTTATTCCTTTTCCTTCAATGTGTGTTCTAGCAAATTCCATGTTTCATTGTGTATTTTATCCTAATAAGAGGCATAAGACTTCACATCATATGTTGTTCTCACCAATTAAGATGCTTAATCAAATTTGCATTTGGTTGCTACTAAGAGAAATCAATAATGGCTTAAAGAATATAGTAGTGTACTCATTGAAATAAAGCTCACCTGTGGTCTGTCTAGCCTGCTGGGGCAGCTGGACAATGGCACCAGTGACCCAGGCTCCTCTATTTTGATTCCATTACCCTTGGCATGTGTTCCATTCTTCAGGCTCTCTTACATTCCTAGGTGACTGTATTCTAGCAAATATTAGGAGAAAGGGAAGAAGGCAAATCCTTCTCTGTCAGGTTGATAGCCCAAGCAGTTACAGGGGGACAACTGGTCTCCTGATGAGTGTACAGCAAGGGATAAAAGAATAATATACAAAGAACAAAGAATAGAGAATAACAAGAGATAGTTTATTTCTTGGGGGGCCGGGAATTAAACTTTAGCTCTCTCCTGGGTAAAGACCACCTGATCTTAGCTCTATGATAGCTAAGACAATGAGCTCTTCATTAGTCAGTATTTATGATTATACAATGTAGCAAGGGGGCATGAAGGCAGAACTAATGCACTAATGAGCCAGGCTGTAAAAGGAAAGTTAGCTGTATACTTGTGAAGGACAGGTCACAGTTAACAAGGCACCTGTGCCATCTTGCAGGTCATAGCTAAGCAGCCACACGAATTATCTTTAGCTAACATTTGATCTTGGAAAATGGTTGCACAGAGTCATAATCCTCAACAGTAGTGTTTCCTTGTTATTAGAGATACCATAACCCCATAGATCATAGAGACCCCAATTCTGACTGTTGGCATAGCAAAGTTTATTTCCACACACCAGCTGAAAGGCCAATTCACAAGTCACACTTAGGCTTTATAATGACTCATAATTTTAATCAATAGCCTAATTATAAGCCAAATCAATAATATCTAAAGCCTGCTCAGTGTGGTTTCAAGCTGGTCTCTTGAACTTCTCTGTCTGTTAGAGTCTTGTCTCTGTCTTTTAAGGAGTTTTCCTGCTCTCAGTAACTTCTTTTTAGATATTAAGAGCAAGATCTTGGTGACAAGGCCTCATCTAATCACAGGGGGTCTTGGTAAATGGAGATTTTTTTCCTGGATACACGGAAGTTCCTTATTATACAGAAGAAATAAGGATTAATAATGAGTAGAGAACTACATAGTAGTATTTGCCACAGAGGTCTATGGGCTTGTTTTTTTATCTATCTAAACTCTCTCTAATCTCCAAATCCATTTCATGAAGCATCTTTCCATAAAGCCTTTCCTTGATAGGGCTCACATAACACCTATAGTTTCTGTTGCACACTGTGCAACAATCAAATTATTGTATATTGACTTTGTAACTGGATGGGGAGTTCTTGGAGGGTAAGAACTTTGTGTTAAATTTCTTGGATAGCCTTTTATTGGATTCATTAGGTGTTTGGTAACAGTTGTTGAATAGATAAAAACAGATTGATTAGGAGAAAGACACACAGGAACGCTGACATGGTAAGTATGAAAAGATTAGCAGAAGAAAAGAGTATAAAGGATATATATGACTCTAAAGGAGTGGAGAGGGATCGTGCAAGTTTGCATTTGGAAGTTGAAATAGATGGATTGAATTAAAAGACTCCAATGATTACACCAAATCCATATCTATGGTCAAAATCAGGGCTCAATAAATATTGCTGAATTTTTAATCAAACATTTAAAGTTACAAAAACATTTTCCTTTGAACACAGTAGAAGATAAAATAATAGATGGAGACATGACTTCTTATTCTCCATAAACTTCTAAAATCTTCAGTTTAGCAATCTCACATGAATTACAAGATTTTTCTTTATTCTAGCATTAGCATAAGTATTCTCAAAAATTCATGGAGATGATGAAGTGTTGATAATTAAACTTTACTTTTATTTAATTCTCTGTACTTCAAAACCTCCATTATTGCCAAGTAAGATAGTGAGTTTAATTAAGACTAATAAGCCAGATGATTGATCTTGGATATTAAAAAATCTATTATTTGATGGCTTTTTATAACCATTTCATTGTTTCTTTTTGACAAAGGCAAGACCATAAAAGATTTCAATATAGCTGTCCAAATGATGAAAAGGATCCACTCCTTGATGGATAAATACTCAGATCTTCTGCAAGATGCAGATCGGCAGTTCATAAGCAGATGCCTTAATTATTTAGGATTTGATGAATTGGCAAGGTCTTTATCAGACCAGGTAATATTTGAATAGTCTAAGTATTAGGTATACACAAATTTATTGAAAATACAGTAATATCTTTTAGATTTTTTAACTGAAAATATTATCATTATTAGTTATCCAAATGCCAAATCTTGAAGTAACATGGAATTAGACATCTTGTATAAATACTTTGCTGGACAAGTAGACTAAATGCTAGATAATTTGTGTAGACCTTAGAACTAATTCTACAATTAATTCTAGCAAAACATCTCAAAACTATAGTGTGATTATTCCATTTTAAAAAATATATCAGATGGTAGTTACAAGACCCATGATGGAGATTTAAAAATCTTGATATTTATTAGTTCATTTACATTTAAAAGGATAATTTAAGTGGTAATGTCTTTGCAAAATTTAAAAAGTGGTAAAATGTTTTTTACATAGAATAAATTTAGAAATAAATATTTTAACTATGTAAATGATGTTTAATTTAAAGCATTTTCAAAATAGTCTCTGAAATAATATAGGATGTAGTAGATGACATAAAGAAGAAGCGAAAGAATAAATATTCAATTGGCATTGGGCCAGCTCGGTTTCAACTGCAATACATGGGCCATCATTTGATACGAGAGGAAAGAAAAGATCCAGATCCAAGGGTCCAGGATTTTTTTCCTGATACTTGGCAGGTAATGATGCTAATGCAAATGAAAAAATCTTGTGTATATGTGAATGCAGGAATTTCTCAATATTGTAACTTTAAATATTATATCTGGCATACAGTTCTTAATATTGAGTGTTATCATTTAAAAATAATTATGTAAAATGCCAAATGCTGACATTTTTCTCACTGATGATGAAAAGAAAACCTTTCATTTAATACATACCATTTAGTTGGAAGTGAGTGATCAATTTACTATATAGACTTGAAGATTAAAGACATTCATACCATCCAGATGTATCAATTTGGAGCACCCTCCTGATTTTCTCCATGGCAGTAGGATTTCATACATGAATATATAAATGGACACAGAGAAAATTTGGTAGTTTACACAATGGAGACAATTGTTTAGATATTTATACGCTGCAACTAGTATTCTTCTATAAAAGTATATAAAATATCTTTGAATGGTTATAAAATTAGGAAGAAGTGGATCCAATTTTGCATATATAGGCCATATAAAATTGATAAGACATTGATCATATTTACTTAAAGAAATGCAGTATCCTATGTTCAGTCTAATAGATTGTTTTGCTTAGAATCAGACTATATGTAAGCTTTTTATTACTGTAATGAAATACATGAGGCATGCTAACTTTATAAAGAGGTTTAGTTAGGTTACAGTTCTGCAAGTTAAATGTCCAAGATCAGATGGCATCATTAGTTTGGCCCCTATGAGGGCTTAACAGCAGAATAGTATGACCTCAAGGTGGGAATGAAGTGGGAGAAAATGTCCTATCTTCAAATAAGTAGAGAGAAAGCTGAGCGAGGTTGGGCTCAGGCTTTTTATAACTACACTGTCTGGAGAACGACCCGGACTCCCACAGCAACTACCTTCCCGAGCTCACTCCCAGTGCCTAGGGGCCTCCCACTCCACTCTGCCACTTAGTAAAGACTCTCTTAATGCTGTACACCCTGGGGAGCAAGCTTCTAACACAAGGATTCTTGGAGAACACTAAAACCACACTTGAACCACAGCCTAGGCTTTATCTTCCTTCTATTAATAATAGTTGACTACTGTAAAAGCTTCATGCTCCCTTTCCATCAGTAGGAGGACTAATTTCTTATTTCAGTGCAGGCCATAAGGGAAACAAATGCTCTCCATTAATTGTACGCATGCTGTAACTCTCCTGATGCTTACTTCACTATGAGATGTGATTATGAGTGGGCCTAGACTTAACAGGGGTGCAAGTTTTAATTTGGAAGTATTTTTCCATCCTCTGTACTTCATAGACTTACAGTTCTTTTGTCATGTTGATGAATAAAAATGTAGGTCATGGAAATGAAGATCCAACCTGACCTCCAGATTAGGCATCTTGTATTCTATACAGAAAGTAGCTGATGGGCAGCACAATTAAGATCTTTGATGTTTTTCCTAACCAGCCATTTTTTCCTATTACAAATTATGAAATTGCTACTTCTTAGAGTATTATTTCTCAAAGCCATTCTATACTTACTAAATGACAAATAATTACAAGGAAATCTTCCCAATAACAGGATGTTTGATTGAGACTTCCTTTCCATTTTTCAAAGGTAAAACTCAACTTTCAGATATTCAAAAGCAAATAAATTATATCCTCTGAGAGAACAGCATATGTTTTTCAGATATTTTAAATTTTTTTCTGTGCAATTACAAATTTTAAGCATGCCATTTGAAACTCAGAAAATCATATTGGAAATGTTTAATATATTTGGTTTGCTAATTTGTCGCTTATACTATTGATAGCACGTGTTTTTTGGTACTGGGGATTGAACTCAGGACCTTGCACTTCAGAGGCAGGGGAAGGAACCACTGAGCTAAATCCCCAGCCGATATTATTGAAACATATTTTACTCTGAACCCTGCAGCGAGAACTCCTCGATGTGGTGGATAACTATGAGTCAGCAGTGATTGTTGCCCCAACATCCTCAGGCAAAACCTATGCTTCCTACTACTGCATGGAGAAAGTGCTGAAGGAGAGCGATGAAGGGGTGGTTGTGTATGTTGCACCAACCAAGGTAGAGCTCAAGATCATGTAATTTGCTCTTTCATTCCTGAACCTCCTTTAAAAATGCTGCATGTGGTCATATAAGTCTAGTTCTCTTTTTTCTTAATCTGCAATTTTGTATTCTAGTTTCAGAGGCTAAAATATCACCTTTTTCGGAACCATTTCAAAAAAGAAATGTAGTCTTGCAATCTTGACCTCGAGCTTGATGCTGGAATTGAGAGAAGCTCTCACACTTTCTTGGGCAGTGAACTGACTAAGGGCATGATATTACCTCTGCAGGGCTCATGGAAGATGTCCTATCTGCTGTTAGGCACTGGGGACTGCTCTGTTTTTCAAGCCTGCTTACTTTACCAAATTTTCTTTATTTTAGTTCTGCTAAGTTTGAAATTAAAAAAAAAAACCCCAATAATTTTTGTATTTTCGGAGAAATTTTGATTTATGGGAAGTAAAAGTCTGCATTTCCTCATTCACAACTTTTTAATTTAATATGGTTCCTCTACGGAAGTTTAGTTGGGGTGATTGTAGATCTAGTTCAGGTGACTTCCAACTAGAATGGAGTAGATAGACTTTAGTTTTTGGAAAATGTGTGATGTTGAGTGATTCCTGATCAGCCTGTGTAACAAATTGACACACATGATTAGTTTAAATTGGTGTTTCATTTTTGTTGTAGCTTTGTTGTTTTTCATGATTATTAAAACAATAAGTTACCATGATGGGAAATTTATAAAATATAAGTTTATAAAAAATTAATGATGGAATTAGTAAATTGAACCCAGAACATTTTGGCAAATTACTGTTCTCAAAGTTTAAATCCACTTTAATTCCCTCCATCAGGATATCAGAGTATACATTCTGCTAAGTTTTCCTACACTTCTATCACCATTTAATGAATTTTGCATACTCATAAGTGAAAATTACTCTTTCATCTTTAGATTAACATCTCTTGTGATTAGTGACTTGGAGGCACTGTGATGATGATATTTGAACATTGGATTTCTTTACTCATAAAGTACTTGTGAATGCATCTACCCAGTTTTCTTTTGGAAGGGGTTGAATATTATTAACAAATTTAAAACTTTATATAAAAACATGTTAAATCTTTTGACTAAAATGATAGTGAAATATTCTTTCATTTGTTGTTTTCTCACTTTATTATGGTTATTTTAATGAGAGCAATAAAATCTTTGCATAGTCAGAACTATCAATATTTTCATTTGGAATTTTGTGTGTGCTGAAATATATGAAAATGTCACCTCCTAATACCTTTATTATTTTTATTATGAAATTTACATCTGGGCTGGGGATTTAGCTCAGTGGTTTTGCCGCCTGCTGCGCAAGCGCAAGGACCCGAGTTCGATCCCCGGTACCAAAAAGTAAAACAAAACAAACGAAAACAAAACAAAACAAAAAAAAAAGAAACTTACATCTTAGTCTAGATGATTTTCAATTATGTAGCATCAAGTGTGAGATAGATGTTTGCAGGTTTATAAATTCCACAGAGCAGCCTAGTTGTTTAATCCTGAACAGGGTTCTACTCATTCATGTATACACTCAACTTCAGGCATCTAGGATACATTTCTAAATAGAAGAGGCACAAGTCTATCTTGGGTATCCTGTACTTGAACTTCATTCTTCGGTAAAATTGGTTTTTCTCTAAGTGTTGGCTATGCAAGTAATATGTTGTTTAGCAATTTTACTTCCTACATGAGGGTAACATTTTTAAATTTGTATTTTAGGTGAACTTTTTCTTCTTTTTTATTTTTACTTTCAGTTTAAGTTTATTGATGAAGTCAAAATCTTAGTTCAATATCTCAAAAAGATGATTTATTTTACACTATTTACAAAGATGGGTAGGAGAAAGTGTTACTAAGCTTTCTGTATATTTGGCAGGACATACCTTCGAACAATACTTGTTGTCTCTTGACATTTCACCTATGTATACTTTAGTATGTGATAATGGTCTGTTTCCTTGTCAATCAGGCCCTTGTTAATCAAGTGGCAGCAACTGTACAAAATCGTTACACCAAAAATCTGCCAAATGGTGCAGCACTATGTGGGGTTTTTACAAGGGAATATCGTCACGATGCACTCAACTCTCAGGTAGGGTATGTTCTTCAATAAACTTGATATGAAATTATGTAACAGTAATTATGTATCTCTTTGATTAGAAACTCAAAATCTTCACAAGTCCTTGTGAAAATAATTTTCCTGAATTTATAAAAAATAAAAAGGCTCCAGAGAAAATGTAATTTTGTTACACTGTGAAGAGTAAGAAATAGAATTTATCTTTTTCTAAGGACCGTTACATTTTGATTTCAGATTTCAGCTATAGTTCATTAAATTATGATGGTTTATAGATGGATTCAAAACAATTGTAAGAATTCTACAAGTTATAAAAATTAACAACAGAAATTTCTAATGATAATTATGCTTTCTGCAAAGTGCTTTTGAAGTATACTATAAAAACTTGTATTTTAGTATGGCTATAGTATATTAAATCATAGATTGTTAATTAAATCATAGATTGCATCCTTATTAAAATTGCAGATCAATAATATGTAATAATGAAAAATGAATGCATGTTCATAGAACACTATGTAGTAGACATGGAGATGTGCTACTCAAATCACCTGTCGAGGAAAGACTTGCTGCCCAGTTATGAGGAGTGTGGTGAGGACAGATGCCAATTGTCCCTGGTCTTCCTGTATCATCCATATCCTGTGACTGAGCTAAGCATGTGTACAAAAGGGGGCCATTTTGGCTTAATGGAGAAAATCAGATAGACAACATTCATCCAGATCTTTGAAGTATAATGGCTGAGGCTCTGTCCAGTCAGTAATTTGCCCTAGTTCTCTGCCCAGTCCTGCTTTCCTTGTTGATTTCTTTCTTTCTTTCTTTCTTTTCTTTTCTTTCTTTCTTTCTTTCTTTCTTTCTTTCTTTCTTTCTTTCTTTCTTTCTTTCTTTCTTTCTTTCTTTTCTTTCTTTTTTTCTTTTATTGTTCTGGGAATTGAACTAGGGACCTTGCACTTGCATAGCAGGCCCTGGAACCACTTAGCTAAATCTCCGGCCCCTTCCTTGCTGATTCGCAGTAAGCATAATCCAACTCAAATTCTATTGCAGGGTTGGATTTTAAAAACTCAAGACTGTGACAATGAATAGTTTTTATTTTCTGATGCTAAATGCTCACTAAAGAAGTAATGGAGAAGATGGATGTGATTAAAGTATGTCATATGCAAGAATACACATGTCACAAAACAATATTTTATACACTTAATATAAGTTAATGTTTACAATAAGATAAACTTCCAAATTTGATATTTCATCACTTTTGAGTTGAAAAGTTGAAGTTTCATCTCTTTCAGACTAATAATCAGAATTTTCATGTAATTAATTCTTAGAAGTAATGTTATATCCTAATTATCAGCAGATAAATCTAGGACCCATAACTCTATCATATATAGTTTTATAATTACTCTCGTACCTACTACATGCTCAATATATTAGTTGACAATATTATTATTTTTAGGTACTTGTTACAGTGCCTGCCTGCTTTGAAATTCTGCTGCTAGCTCCACATCGTCAACAATGGGTGAAAAGGATTCGATATGTTATATTTGATGAGGTACATTTGATTTTATTTCTCTGGGTTAATTTTCTAATATACATAAGCACTATAACAAAGATCTTTGGTGCTTCAGGAATGTGTCTACTGAAATTCAGATCAGGGTGGATGGTGGCTCTTTCTTCTGGAAAATTCCCCCAGTGAATCATAATCAGTCTTTTGCCTCCCTTATCTTGTGTGACTCTACAGGGTATGTTAGTGCAACTTTTAAATCTCTATGTAAAGAGGGAACTTTCATTGGAGAAAACTATTTCAAGGTGAAGAGAATTCAAATGCCATGACATAAGCTTCCCTCCATAAAGATTTCAAAATCAAATCTTTATATTTTAAGCAAAAAAATTTGAATTCTACCAAAGCTGTCAACTATATAATACAGTATTATGAGAACAGGAAACAAATGGAACAGATAAATTACAATTCAAGGATGCTAGTTTTCAAAAGTGTGTTTTAGGAAAACCATATGGGTCAGTGCAGTAATCCAGAGCTAGTAACTTGCTCCTCTGCTTAAAGGGGCAAGGTGAGGAAGTATTTACTTAACATTGGGTAACAAAAACCTTTCCTATACTTTTCTACAATAAATTTACACTTTAGCATAATAGTACCAGCTATGCATCTTAATAGCTGCACTTGAGGGATACAGGAAGGAATCTTTGCATTTACCCAATTACCGACTTAATACAACAAACAGCAAGGTGTGAGCATGTGTGCAAAAATGTCAAAGTGGGAAATTTACCTACATAATGCTCCTTGTAACTGTTTTTGCATATGTTTCCCTGAGCATCATAGGGGTTAAAATATACCCACAGCATTCATCTATTATGTAAAGCTGTACTGTACCATAATGAAATAAAGGTGTGGCTCACAGTAACTGGGCATGGGGAAAGCAGGAATCCATCCGCATTCACTCACTTAGCAGATGAATGGCAAGGTACATATAGGAACTTCAAACAAGCAACAGGTGTGCATTTATGATTTGACATTGGCCATGTGAGCCAAAGTTCCTGTGACAGTGAAATTGAGCAAGAATTACCTGATACAGACACAGAGAATGAAGACCTCTCTGATTCAGATTACAAAGAATACAACAATGTTAGTACATATTTGACTAGTCAAAATGTCACAAAATTATCATGCTATCAAACAGAGTGATCTAATGTTACATCTGAAAATATAGTGAGAATTTTCACAGCGGTGAAACCTATTGGATGGAATGCCAGTATTGCTATTCAATGTTGGAAATTGTTTGTAATAGATAAAATGCCACAAGTTGTTGTGAAATGCAAAAAATGATGAAATACAAGTAAAATATTCTATATTTACTATAGCCATACTAAAAAATGTGTTTATTTGATATCGCACTAGCTGAACTGAAAGTATTCATAAGTCTGCTGTATTTAGCAGGGTTTTCTCATGATAATCATAGGAAGGTAAAAGACTCATGGGTGTGGGTTTCAGGGGTATAGAATAAAAATGACACTGAGGAAATTCGGTTTCCTTCAAAATTGCCTGAGGTTTGTTGACAAAAACCACTTGCCAAGAATAAAAAGAACTGATACTCTGGCTGCTATCCACTCATTGTTCGAGAGTTTTATTTCAAAAGATAAAGCAATTTACACACTATCTAAATACAGGACTATTGATGAACATCTTGCAGTTTTTTATGGTCATTGTGGCTTTAGGCAGTATGTGCCCAAAAAACACCTTCAAAATTTGGCATAAAAAATATATATAATTTTCCAAATGTAATGTTGCAATTTCAAAACAGAGAATTTTATAGTCCAATCTTTGGATTTCAGAAAGATATAACATTGGCCTCATATATGGCAAAGAAAAACAAACTGGTACTGCTGATATCAACATTGCACCATGATGGAAATATTGATAGGGAAACCATGACCAAACAGAACCCTGAAATGGTAACTTTCTACAAAAAAACCAAAGCCAGAGTAGATGATGTTGATGAGTTATGTGAAAAATATGATGTCACTTGAAACACAAAGTCTTGGGCAATGATTGTATCTTACTCAATCCTAAACATGTGTAGCAAAAGTAGTTTGATAGGTTACAAAGAAACTAACAAGTGCAAAATACCAAAGACAAATTTTCTTAGAGGATTGGGACTGGAACTCATAAGAGATCATTTACAGAAGAGGAAAAACAAAATGTTTCTGCCCCAAGAACTGTGCAAAAAAAATTATGGAGCATGCCGGAGAGCTGACAGGTGCCAGGCAAGCACAGCATCACAAAGGCCTACTACTAAAACAGGAAAACCAAAAAGATGTCAACTGTGTCCTACAAAAAGGACAGGAAAACAAAACATTTGTGCTATGAGTGTAAGCCATACTTGTGCATGGAACATGCAGTTTTTATGTGTGAAAACTGCCTTGGGTGTGACAGTTAAAACAGAGATTATTTTTTTGATTGACTTTTGTTTTTATTTACATTGTTGTTCACGTATTTTTATTTCTGATGTTATCTTTTGTGTTTTGTAAGCAAGTACACAGCTGATGTGACAATGTTGATAGGTAATCTAAGCATTCATTACATATTTGATTTTATTGATATCTTATTTTCCTAAGTGCATAGTGTACAATATAGTAGTAAGCTCCTGACAAAAGAGGAATACAGGAGAGGTGACAAGTGTGAGCATGGGACAGGGATGTAGCTCAGAGGCCCAGCATCTGCCTTGCAAGCTTGAGGTCCTGAGTTTGATCTCTGGTACCAAAAAAAAAAAAAAAAGAATGACATGCCACACAGGAAAGGAAACACATGTGCTGTCAGTGTAAGCAAGATTTGTGCATGAAACATCCAGTTGTCATGTGTGAAGACTGCCTTAGGTATGACAGTTGAGGCAAAGATTATTTCTGAGGTACACTTTTGTTTGTATTTACATAGTAGTTCACATAGGTTTTTATTTTTGATGTTATCATTTAGGGTTTTTAAAGCAAGTACACAGCTGATGTGAAAATGTTGATGCTTATGCTAAATGTGCAACACATTAAAATTTTAGTACTTTATTTTATTGATATTTTATGCTCCTGTCAATTACACATTGTATAATGTAATAAGAACCTCCTGAAAAAACAGCAAGACCAGCACGATGTCAAGTATGTCCTACAAAAAGGCCAGCATAGTAAAACACATGTGGTGTCAGTGTAAGCAATATGTGGGAATGGAGTGTGCTATTGTCCTGTGCAGAGACAGCCTTAGGTGTGATTGAAGTAAAGATTATTTTTATTGTAGAATTCTATTGTTGTTTTCATTGTAGTTCATATAGGAATTTACTTCTGACTTTATTTTTTAGATTTTATACACCAAAAAAAATGTTGAAAATTTTAATGCCTTTTTATAAAAAATGAATATTAACAATGAAATACTTTATTTTGTGAATTTTTTTCCTTTTAAGTACTCATTGTTTAATATTAAAACATGTAAAATTAAAATTAATAATTCATAAATAAAAATACTTTAAAGAATAATTGTGGGTATTATACACCAACTAAAATGTGGCTTTAACACAAAATTAGCATTATTCCCCATAGGGTTTACTTAAATTCAGAATGCTATTCACATTGAGTTGGCTACATTATGAGGAGTACTTTAGTTGAGGAACACAACTGGTTCAAAGTAACCTTGGAAGAACAGATCCAATGGAACATTGACTTCAACCTCATTATCTTCGTTTCTTCTGATCCCTTGCCAAGGCTTTGTGTTACCAGATCAAGTGGAACCAGTAAGCATGAGAGCCCTTTGAGGTAGTACCTATAGTTCAGTTTCCCAGAGAGAGTGGGATGAAGACAATATAGACTGATAGGATCATATGAAGATATTTAGCAAAGTTTTATAGAAACATCATTAAGAATATTTATTCAAGGAGGTTGAAAACATTTTGAAAAGATATATTCTTTTGTTATAAGGAATTTATACTTTGAAAGGGAAAAAGATAACAAGGCCATATTGAACTTTCCTTTTCCTTGTTATAAACTTGGAATTACCAAACATACTGTGTGTCTTGATTTGTTTGGCAGTAATTTATTGTATTTATTTTAGTTAAACATAAATATGTTTATCGTGAGTGCTTTGCATACTCCTGTTAAACAAAATCCAACAAATGTGTCTGTGCAATTTAGAACCTTGAACTGTAGTCTAATGCAAATCTGTGAGGTGATATAACACTGGAATCTTACTTTTTCCAATTTTATGTAAGGGTACAACTGAATAGCACTGATGCCTATTCTAAGAGAGCAGAAGAAAGGTTATATATATGTATTCATAAATATATATGCATAAATATATATTTATGCAGTTCTCATTGTAAGTTCTTTTCAATTGATAATCAGGAACCATAATTTAATCTGTTTAATTCAGATTGCATGTGAAAATCTTTTCTTAGTCTATTGAATTTGTTTGGTCAAAAGATATTCATTCATTTATTCAATAATTATCTAAAGAATGCTTCCAGCGTGTCAGGTATTGTGTCAGTGCTAGGAATATCCACATCTAAGGTTGCAATTTAATTGCAAAAGAGAAATTAAACATGTAAACACACAAATGATTGTAAGCCCATACTAGTGAGTACTTCAATGGGAAAGAGTGGGCTGTCATGACCATAATAATGACAAGGTCACAGGATAACAACTCTGGAATGGGTGGCCATAAAACTCCTTTGTGAGGAATGACATTCAAATGAATTTTATAGATTCAATAAGGGAAAATACTAGTATTTATTGTTGTTTTAAAATTTTATTCAGAAGAGTATCTTAAGCAGAGGGAACAATAATATGAAAGCTCTTAAGTAGGAATGGTGTGGTTGGTCAAGGAACAAAGAAAATACTGATATGTCCAGACCATAGTAAGGATGGGGGAGACAGGCTCCAGATAAATCTAGATTGGCAGCAGTGGCCAAATTATGTCAGGCATCATAAATCCTATTAAGAAGGTGGGATTTTATTCCATGTGAAATGGAGAGATACGGAGGAAGTTAAATTAGGGACTTAGCTTGATAGAATTTGTCTTTGCATTACTCGGTAGTGATGTGAGGGATAAAGGGTGTCAAGAAAGGAACTAAGGTCAGTAGTCAAGAGGCTTGAAGTTGGGCAGCGAGATGTAATGGAGGCTTCTTTGACAGTGGATATGCTAACAAATACTTAGGTTTGAAGGTAAAACAAAGAGGAAATATTGTTGGGTGGGGTATGAGGATTTTGAGAAATCCAGGTTTCCAGCTTCTCTATTGCCTGGAACTTTTTTGGGTGGGGGGTACCAGGGATCAAACTCAGGACCTTGCCTTTGCAAGGCAGGTGGCAGAACCACTGAGCTAAATCTCTGGCTCTGGATTTTCTTTACAAGGATGTAGTGTCCTTCTTTGTCTCTCTTAATCAGTGTTGGTTTGAAATCCACTTGACCTGTAAAGAGGATAGCTACTGCTGCTTTTTTTCAGGTTCCTGTCACATGGAGTATTGTTTTCCTACCTTTAACTTTCAGTCTATGAGTTTCTTTGGATTTTCTAATACATATTTAAACCTGGCATACTTAATACTAATGGGATTCTATGCATAAGGATTTTATGTCTTATTTTCATGTTCTGTCTTTAAGTCAACTTCTTCAACTGAGAAAGTATTTTTCTTTAACAGGTCCATTGTCTTGGTGGAGAAATTGGAGCAGAAGTCTGGGAGCATCTCCTTGTCATGATTCGATGTCCCTTTTTGGCTCTTTCGGCTACCATAAGTAACCCTGAGCATCTTACAGGGTAAGATTACCTTTCAGTTTGGAATGAATACTTACCTGTCTTAGACGTTTGAATTTCACATTTTCTATATGGGTTTTGAAGAGTTTCATAACTTTCTAATTACTAATAGTTTATTTCTAGATCTTCAAGATAGTTCTTTCTGGCACTTCTTCTAAAAGTAATAAGGACTTCTCACCCCAGCCAGATCTTCAATTTAGTAGGAAATTTCTCCTAAAATCTCAAAAAAGCTTAATAGGAAATGATAAATGTATGTTCATTTTTCTTTACTAGGAAACCAAAAATAAAGAGATATAATAACACATTCAGCCAAGACCCTAAGGAGTATGTCCCACTTAATAGAGATGTCTGGAAAGATACCAAAGCTATTCAATTGAGAGCTGCATATGATGTTTGTCACTGAGGTTGATTTTTGCACAATAATAACAATTATAACATTGAAATCTATAATATCTCTTTTGTGTGCCATCTACTATTCTAACGACTTTGCATATACTGTAGTAATTTATTTTAAATGCTAGCAAGCCTTATGGTTTATTATTTTTCCATTACTATTGTTAGGAAACAGTACTTCTATTACTACTACTACTACTACTACTACTACTACTACTACCACTACTACCACTACTATTATTTTCATTTTAAAATGTGGAAAACTAGATACAGGGAGATTAAATGTTACAACCGAAACCACATCTTGCAGAATTTAGGGTGAGATTCAATCTGTCAAATATGTTTCAAAGGTACATGAATTTGTCAGTTGTCTTTCCTGAAACTAATTAATGGGAAATATTTCCATTTTCTGCCTGTATAGTATATGTTTATTTTTAAGGTGGCTGCAATCAGTCAAACATTACTGGAAACAAGAAGACAGAATAATAGAGCAAAGGATGACCTCCGAGAGAAGTGCAGGCTGTCGTGCCAGTTTTTCCAAAGACTGCTTGCAAATAAAGCAATCATATAAAGTTAGGCTTGGTAGGTTAGATATATTCATATAAACTTTTCTTTGACCTTAAAATTCTTCCCAGTCTTTCCACTTCCATTAATTAGGAATGTTATGTCATTCACTTTTAGTGCTCTATGGAGAGAGGTACAATGATTTAGAGAAGTACATATGCTCTGTCAAACATAATGACATTTGTTTTGATCACTTTCACCCATGTGCTGCACTAACCATAGATCACGTAAGTAACAACACTGCCGTATTTGTTCTGAGTAATAGAAATTAATATATTTTAATTGAAAAATTGCTCACTTGATACTTACCAGAATTGAAGAATACATGTTTTACAACAGATGTTTCCACCTTGATTTTACAGATAACAGGAATGTCCTTCCTAGTTTCCTTGGTTCTTCAGTGGTATTTGGATCTACAAAGCTTAGATACTACTAAAGTTTTAACCTGAATTTAAAAAATTCTATTTATTCTTGGACATTATGTTTGCACATATTCTTTCTTGTCAGCACCCTTCTCTCAATGCACCTAAAACTTCATTTGAACAACTCCTAGTTCCTGTGAGAGTCTGATCATCATGAATCAGGTTTAACAAGGAAAAACAATTCTTCTTTATATAGCAATCACAACATGATTTTTGGTAGTGAACCAGAAGGCAAAGACCTAAAATGATTTAGGTTGTGATATTAGAAGGTAATGTAGAAGGATTTCTTAAGTTTTGAGTGTTTCTCTTCTTCACTTATTCTATTTCTATGAATAGTCAATTAAAATTCCTATTGCCTATCAAAGTGACAATAGATCAATAGCTTGTCTCCTTTCTTACACTTACGAAGTTAAACGTTTTCTATATTTACATACAATCATTAACATAATTATGATATTCTCCAGTTTTTAAAGGCTCTCCTTTGACAGGGCCAAATGCATAGCTCTATAGCTTGACAACCAAGGTCTTCTATGACTACATCCCAGTGTTTCTTCCAGTCACCTACAGCACAAACCTTCCCTGGAAGCCTTATCCCGATCCTCAGATATTTAACCCCACATGCCAAATGCCAGCTTTCCAGATGCTGTTCATCTTGCATGATGTGCATGTGAATCCATTTCACAATCCCGCAAGTTCCTCAGCTGGATGTACTGTGATCTTTGCTCAGTAGTTTTGTCTGTGTTTCTTATGTAACACCAAGCCAGGTCAGCTTGCTGCTGAGGATGTTCACATGCATGTGTTCTTTATTCTTCAAGAATAACTCTTTGAAAACAAATTTTATGTATAGTTCCTAACAAACTGCCATATGTACAAGAGTTCCTCATTAAATATATGTTAAATAATGATAGTTGACTGAAATTGAGCACTTGCTATATATTCTAGAAATTTTACATATTTCACTTTTTTAAACCATCATAGTTTTGTGATAGATGTCCTATTACTGTTCCCCTTTTACAATTGAGAAGCATAGAAACCTTAATGAATTCAGTGTTTCTGTACTAAGTAAATGGTTGACTAGAAAGCAATCTTTGATTGTTGACTCCACATTCATCTCTAGGATCTGTCCAACAAATACATGGAAGAATATGAGTCACTGTAGCCCTTGTCATAGGTTGAACTGGCTTCTAAAGCAAATGAACAAACTTGAATGATTGTAATGCTCCAATAGCATTTTATGAAGAGCCTTTTTTTTTGTGTGTGGCAATGGTCCAACCGTTTTCTAAATAAAACAAGATATTGAGAAATTACTCTGACTTAATTCACATTCCTAACCTAGAATATAGATGATAACCCAAATATAGATAATAAAAGATCCTTCCCATTTCTCTCCCTCCCTTCACTCTTTCCTTCTTCCCTCTTTTCTTTTTTCGAGAGATTATTTAACATTTTCTTCATTACTTGGAATTAAAAAAATAGCATAGTACTTTAAAATATCTATTTTGTATAAGTTGGTTCAAGGCAGGTTATCTTTTTTTTTTTGTTTTGGTACCCAGCATTGAACTCAGGACCTTGAGCTTGCGAGGCAGGTGTTGGAACCACTGAGCTAAATCCCTGGCCCTAGGCAGGTTATCTTTAAGCACCAGTGCATGTAGTAGTTTAGAGTACTCACTGAAATAGACATTTTGGTCTAAATTCCTTTCTTCTACTCTCAGGAGATATTAATAGAGTAAGTGGAAGGCAAGAAAACTGCTATAGTGTGATCTGACCCCATGACTTTTGCAAAGTGCGTGCTGTTGTATAAGTCTTAAGACTTCTGGAATTCTGTGGCAGCAATGGAGGGCAAATAAATACAAAATATTGGGCATTATTCAATATGTTTTGAAAGTTCTGTAATAGTGTGTGTGCATATAGGACATTTCCTAAAGTAGCAATGATAAAAAATAGGTAGATATTCCAACTTAGTGAATAATTTCAAAACTTTAGTATACTTCAGATGAACATGAAAGAACTGAGTGGCAAGGAGAAATCTAATGAACTTTAGCAATAAAGAGGCAATAATTTTTTTCCTTCTACAGCTATATTAGAAAAATGATTTTAGAAGGGAAGGGATGGAACAGAACAAGTGAGCTGGCTTCAATCCAGCTGCAGTGAGAGACTGCCCTCAATCCGTACATAGCATGTTTCTGGCTAGGAGATGTGTTGTATGGCCTTTGCCACCAATTATCATGGCACACAGGAAAAACTCCTGACTCCTGGAGAGCTGTCATCCCTAGGAAGTCCTGAACAGAGCTGCTGTCTCTTGCTGCTCAGCAGGGCTCAAATGCTACCATTACCTATGATACTGGGATGATGTGGTTTGCAAACATAAAATCATCATGTACTATTGTGTTTATAAACAACAGATGGTATTTTTTTTCATTTTCTACCTAGACTGCTCAAGTTTTGTCAGTTCATTTGTTGTTGTATAATAAAGAACAAAAATTGAATTTCCAGCTTTTGGCCATAGGATTGTTAAATCAATTAAAAGATTATAACCTGTGAACTGATAATTAATCAGTTACATTGGCAGATGGCACAACAAATATGAAAAATGCATTTTGGTAGGGTGTTGTACATATTACTTCATTTAATTCTCACAATAAATTCATAGCCCAGGCAGAATTCCCCTCTAGTTTAGAAATGAGGGAAATCAGACTTTGGTAAAAGGGAAAGTGACTTCAGAACCCGTTAAATAATCTAGTCACCAAACCAAAGATCTATATTTTAAAGTTCCTGATAATTCTTAGATTTCTTTTGTTTTCGTTTAGTTAGGCAGTATAAGTGACCACTCTCAAGTAATTATTTTATTACTTGTCTGCAGCATTACTTAAAACACCTGAGGAAGACCTCTGTAGAGTTCTAATTCTCAGACTGTATAGCAACCCGTGATAGGGAGGAGAAATAACTCAGAATTATTTACAGTAACATCACACTCTGTTTGTCATTTAGTGTTCTTTCCCCAGTAAAAGAAGCTATTTGGATGCAGTGACTCAAGCTTTAACTAAAGTAAACAAATAAAATTAATTGAGCAGTATGTGGCAGTGCATATGCGTCGTTTCATTACAACGTCATGTACCATGAATGATACAGAAGTTCTATGCAAACTGAAGCAAGTAGGAGACCAATTTCTAAGACAAAATACATTTTTCAACAAGCACTACTTCTAACTAGATGGAAGTGATGATAGCATGTTAGAAGTTTATCGTCATGATATGATATTGCTAAGTCTGTTTGAATAGGTCAGATGTTGTCAATACTTGCTAAGAATGACATTTCTCTTGATTTAAAAGTTATTAGTAGTATACATTATTAGAAAGTAGACATCTGACCAAACTAGAGACTTTAGACTTTAAAGGTTACAAATAAATATGCGCAGTTTCTCATAGATTATTCTGGCCAGGTTAATTCTGCTGATTTTTTTGCCAGTTATTTTAAATATGCTTGTTTACATTTATTAAAAGTGTAGGATAGTATTGTCTTTTGATGGTTGATCCTTAGACTTACCTGGGAGAATCTTTGTATGCAATCCCTAATTCAATAACTACCTAGATTCCAGAAATCTTAGTCTAGGTGATTTTATGATCATTAACTCAAACATAATTTCTAAGTTATTGTTTCTGTAAATGAATTTTTTTTTGTACTGGGGATTGAATGCAGGTCCTTATACTTGCGGGGCAGGAGGCAGAACCACTGAGCTAAATGCCTGTATTTTATTTAGTAAATAAAATCCCAGCAATTTGAAATATTATGTTCATTTAGAATTTTTATTCACTGCAGTCTCTACCATGTAGCCAGCTTCTATTACTTTCAAATTGGGAGATGCTAAGTGATGATTTTATGCAAAAGCTTGAAAAACATATAAATCATTTCTTAATTTTCTTTGGTCTTACCACACTGTGTAAGGTGGAAGTATAAGTATTTTTATTTCTATATTAAGGATATTGGAACTAGCATTGAGATGTAAATTTTTTTGCTTAAATTATTTTATTAGTACATTTTAGGTATACAATACATTTACATTTATCATTGGGTGCTTGTACCTGTACATGATGTATCTTGGTTCTTATTTTTTCCCCATTCCCTGTGCGCCCTTTGACCCCCACCCTTCCCTATTTCCACACTTCGTTTCCACGAGTTGTAAAATTTAAGTGTGATTATCTGACTTGAACTTTCTTGTACTTTCTGTTCTCCAGAATGTCTTCATTTTGTTTTGTTTTGTTTTTCTAGGTCTTTTATATTTGGAGTGGTCCATTTTGCCAAGAATTTAAAAATTCTTAAAACTGAGTTTTATAAACTTCTAACAGCTCTTTATAAAGGAAGAACCCTATTGTGTACTTATTTTAGAGAAATCTTCATACTATAGCTGCCTTTTGTGGTTTAAATTTTTCCAATACATCTTATTTATTTTGTAGAACACATGAACTTTCTCTCTCCCCTTTTTTGGTGATGGGGGAAATATCATTTTAGTCCATTCAGCAGGCTCTTGTAACAAAAGAAACATAGACTGTGTGCCTCTCAAAACTAGTGTCTAGTTTTCACAGTTCTGGAGGGTGCCAAGTTTAAGAGCAAGCTCCTGGCAGATTGGGGGTCTGATGTGGAACCTCCTTCTGGTTCATAGATGGGTCCCTCTGGCTTTATTTTCACTCAGAAGAAAGGGCAAGGTAGCTCTCCGAGGTTTCTTTTATTAAAAATATTAATATCATTTATAATAGTTCTTCTCTCCTGACCTGACAGCTTTCAAAGGCTGTCAGTTCCCAAAACCATCACACAGGGAACTTCATTTTAACATAAGAATTTGGAGGGATCACAATCATTCAAGCTATAGCAAATATTTATTAACAGATCAATGACAGTTTTTCACTAGCAATTTGTAGCAGTAATGGTTGATACCAGCAGAAGTGTTCAATCAAACCTTTTGAGAATAGGAACGTTTTATTTCCACTGAAAATTTTTCGAAAACAAAAAACTTGGCAGATACATTCAATAGATTTACAGGGACCCAAATCAGTGACATGTGGAGGTGTTTATTGCAGGGCTTTCAAGGTCCTCGAAAAGACTTTGTCTTGAGGTTGACCCAGTTCCAATCTTGGAATTTCAGCAAAGAAGATTTGCCCTTTTTAGCCTTTCTTGGTACACATAAAAGTGAAGGATCCTATTTATAACTAAAACAATTTCAGATTCAATTTCGGAGCAGAGTTATTGTCTTCTTCTTGACAACATCTGCAAACTTTTTGTTTCCCTGCACCCTACCTTGAACTACAAATGTAATTCATAGAAGATTAACCTAATTAAAAGCTCTTAGGCAACAAACCTAAGATTTTTGAAGAACTTCTGGATTTTTTATAATTTATTAATTCAAATACATGCACGGGTGGTATTCTATCAGCCTATAATACCTACTAACATTTGAACATTTCATTTTAATGCTGTTCATTGACTTTGGGTTTCTGTTTGTGGCTATGAGGAAAAAAAAAGATGTAAGACAAAAAGAATATTAAAACTTTTAATTTTATATTAAACAGATTGAAAGGTACGGATTCCCTGCTGATCTGGCACTTTCACCTCGAGAAAGCATCCAGCTTTATGACACCATGTTTCAAGCCTGGAAAAGCTGGCCACGGGCCCAGGTAAATAATATTCATGGAATTAATGCTATGCTAGCAGATGGTAACAATGCTATTCTGAGCTCTCATCCTTTCTGATCACTTGTACTTGACCTTTTGAAGCTATTAGTGGACTCTTCAAAAGAAGATAACCCTCATACATTCTTCTTAAGAGGTTTTAAATGGTGTTTATTTAATTCCTGAAAATGTTTCTTGTTTTAACTTCTGGGACATTATAATATTTTAGTCTCCTCTTACCTCTTGGTTTTCTATCCTCCTCTTCCTGTGATCACAGTTTTCCTTTCTCTCTGTCCCTATTGCTTTCTCTTTCATCTCTGACTTAGTTGGTCTCCATTCTTTCCTTAGAAGAGTTCATGCATCCTCATAGTTTTATGTGTTAGAAGCAACAGAGAGTAAGAAGTTCAGCAGTCTCTGTGCTCAAGAGCTTGAACAGTTGTTTATGAGACATATATTGAGAAATTTTTAGATTTTTAGGGATTTTATGTAGTTTTGTGATACTTTTTTCCAGAAACTGTGTCCAGAGAACTTCATTCATTTTAAGAATAAAATAATCATTAAAAAGGTGGATGCTAGAAAATATGAAGAGAGCTTAAAGGAAGAATTAAGAAATTGGATTAAAAATGGCAATATAGAGCAGGTAATTTTCTCATGGTTTGGCAAAGCACTATACTGTCTTCATTGTTTTCTCTAGTTGAATCTGTTAATACTAATTTGGTTTCTATCGATTGTCAATTTCCATTTTAGCATCTTAAATTGAACTTGAAGTTTAATGAATCTGAGATAGAATAAGAAGAGAGGAAATTGGTTTTTCTTTGATCCTCAAGTGTCTCCTAAATCATGAAGTAGAGGCTATTGGTTCCTCACAGATGTTATAACTGAGGGTTCATATTTGTAGAGTGACATCCTGATGGATTGTCAGCATGGAGACTGCACTTATGGGAGCTAAGAAGAATTTTTGTTCTTTTTTCTTTTCTTGGAGTTTTTAAAAGTAATTTTTTTTCTTGGTGCTGGGGATTGAACTCGGTACCTTGAGCATGCGTGGCAGGCATGGTATCACTGAGCTAAACTTTTTATCCTTAAAAATAATTTTTATTTCAACTTGTGGCAACCTTATTAAAATCTTATGCTGGAATCACCAGTACACTCATTTTAAGTCAGTTCTGATTTTTATATTTGCATTATTTACTTTCATAAATTGAAATTTTTGATTTTTTAAGCATGACATATATTAGTTTTCTCTTGTGATTGTTCCATTGTATTTTAATTTGATCTCCTGCTATTCAGAAATATAAGGTAATTAATATCTTAATAGCTTTCTTACTTGCTGAGACAAAATACCAGACACTTGCAGTTTAAGGGAGCAGAGAATTATTTTGGCTCCCAGTTACAGAGGTCTCAGTCCACACATGATTGGCTGGCTCTAAGGAAAAGTGGGTACGGTGGAGGGAAGTGCACACCTCCTGGCTGTGAGAAAGCAGAGAAAAATGGAACAGGGAGGGATATACTGTACTGTACACCCACCCAGGTCCCGCCCCTTCCTGTGATTCGCCTCTTCCAACTAGGTCCCGCCTCCTGACACGAGGCCGTATAGGAAGCCCACGATCCAATCACCTTCCGGAAGCCCCACCTCTGAACCAGGAGGAATTTTGGGGACCCTCTAGATTTAGGTGGTAACAATTTTTTGGTAATTGTGTTTTCATTTAACAGCTTTACAAATGTTCTTGGGAGTAACTTTTGTGTACGGCTTGAAACACTCATTTTCCCCTTTGCTCCTACCATAGAGGAACCAGTATCAATTACTAAACAGTCCTTCTCTTAGGTTGATTCAAGTTGTCTTAAAAATTATGTGTTAAGGTGCATATATTTTTGTTTTCTAGTTTAATTAGTTGTATATATTTTTTGGCTATTTTAGCATGTTTTTAAAAAAATATAAACTCAGTATTATTTTAAGTAACCACAGAAACATAGATTAGATAGCTATGAAAATATTTCAGAAAGTAGTAGAAATTTATTTTTTTGCTGGGTAATCATATTATAAATATTTTTTTATTTACCGCTGCAGGCTAAACTGGTACAGAGGATTCTTAAACCTGATTCGGTTGTTAGTTCAGGAAATATGTTGGAGAAATTTCCACTTCTTGTTGAAAAGCTAAGGAAAGTGGATAAGTTACCTGCACTATTTTTTATGTAAGTTATATAATTTGCTTTTATTGTAAATTTATCATAATTTGTATTTATATGAGACTTTTTAAGGTGAAAGAGTCATACAAACTTTACTGTTGTAATATAATATTCATTGTTATTTTGGGGACTAATTTGTTAGTCAATGTATGTCTTGCTGAAAAAATACACCTTTCTAGTTCAATTGTTTAAAAATTTATTTAGTTTTGGAATCATCATTTGGTATTTAGTTTGGTATCTTCATTTTGGTACTCCATTTGGTACTCCATTGTTTGCTTTCTTTTTACTGAAAACTCTTCTTTATTTATTATTATCAGTGTGTCTTGTTAATTTAATTTAATTTTTTTCTTAAATTCTTTTATTGGTATATTTTAGGTATACAATACATTTACATTTATCTTTGGGTGCTTGTACCTGTACATGATGTATCTTGGTTCTCATTTTTTCCCCATTACCTGTGTGCCCTTCACCCCTAAACGATTCCCTATTTACATACTTCATTTCCATTTTTTTTTCTTTTCTCATAATTTTTCCTTTCTATTCTTTCCTTTCCCCTTTCCCTCCCACCACCCCTACCCCTTTGGACCTTTTCCTATTTCAAAGTATCAATTATTAGTTATTAATCCTTTTTGTCCTTATTTACACTCTCAGTTTCTCACACCAGAGAAACTATTTGGTATTTACACATGTGTGTCTTATTTATTTCACTTAAGAGTATGGCCTCAATATGCATCCATTTAGCTATAAATGACTCTAGTTTCTCATTCTTTATGGCTGAGTAGTACTCCATTTTATAAAAAACCCCACATTTTCTTTATCCAGTCTCCAGTTGATGGGCACTTGGGCTGTTGACAAGTTTTAGCTATTACAAACTGTGCCGCTATAAACATGGGTGCACGTATATCTCTGTGGTATGATTCTTTTTATTCTTTTGAGAAGATACCCAGCAGGGCAATAGCGGTGTCAAATGGGACCTGTAGTCCTAGTTCTTTGAGGTATCTCCATACTGATTTCCACAACGGTTGCACCAGTCTGCACTCCCACCAACAATGGAGAAGGATTCCTTTCTCCTCACACCCCTGCCAGCATTTGTTATTGGTTGATTTCTTGATAGAAGCCATTCTTTCTGGGGTGAGGTGGAATCTCAGTGTTGTTTTCATCTGCATCTCTTGAATGACCAGTGATGTTGAACATTTTTTCATATGTTTCTTTACTAGTTTTACTTCTTTGTCTGAGAAATGTCTGTTCATTTCAGATGCCCATTTTTTGATTGGGTTTTTAAATTTGAGGGGTCTGAATTTTTTCAGTTCTTTATATATTCTAGATAGTAGTCCTTTATCTAAATGAGTGTTATATATTTAAAACAATGATGATGGGTGAATCAAAAATTATATTTTGAAATTTGGGTAGGGCTATAATATTGCTCATCTTACCTTTATTATTGAGAAAAGGAAAATACACTTCTAGACCATGAAGCATTCATCTAGCTCCTCTACTTCATCTCCAGGAATGGCTAGGATGTTAGAAACAAGAGTCATTCTGTACCTTTGGGTTATTTCCAAAAGTCTAACTACAAAACAAAACAAAAAAATCAGAAATTAACTGTTCATTACTGTATACTCATACATATGTAGCAGTGGTGAGATTTTACCTGTATTTCCTCAGCATTTTTCTAATGGATCTGAGAGTTAAATTTATACTAGGAAGAACAACAAGAAAAAAGCATTCAAGTTAAGATAAATTGCATGATGCACTGGGTCCTTCATAAGGAAATGAAAAACCCAAGGACACATAGTTGAACACTTAATACTGAGTTGGACAGTCATAATTTGGGAAAATGTGACACAGCAAAGGGGCTAGGGTGGTTAATTTGTTGGAGATGTAACTCAGAATATAAATTTTAGTTTAACAAGATGTGTATAGATTTCCCTTGGCTTTACCTTCCCCTTGAAGCAAAGAATGGTTTTCTCCTTCTGGTAAAAGGAGAACATCTTTCATGCAGGCTTCTATTCTCCTACTTTTACAAAAAAGATCTTGTACCCACTGCTTTTCAAGCACTTTTAATTGAAAATATTTAATATGCCAGGAAGGTAATGTGTGGGTGGCCTGCCCTGAAATCTCATGAATACTTAGAATATTCAAGAAGAAAAATATTCGTTAAATTATCAAAGATTTAGGAATCTTGAGTTCTCTATAAAGAAAACTTTCAAAATTTTTGATCTTCTGTAATTTGAATTAGTCTCAAGTCAGATCTCTAGATCACATTCATCCTATATGGGTTATTAGAGAAATTAAGTTAATATTGCTTCCAAGTGTGCTCGACTTATTAAAGTGAAGCACTATCATGAGAACAACACCATTTAATGAAGTAAAATGTACTTAGAATCCAGTTATTTGCATTCACGTAAAAAGAGAAGCAACTGCTTGCTACAGATAAGAACATGGATTAGGATGCGAAATGGTGCCACATAGGAACTGTGGGGTGTGGGGCAGTCATTTAGTCTCTTTATGTCTCTTTTTCTTTTCATTTGCTATATAGGGATAATAATAGCACATTCCTCAAAGGATATTTGTGTATATCAAATGAGTGAATATATTTAAGCCACCTAGCCTAGCACATGAAAAGATTATAATATAAATCTTTATTGTTATACTTTATTCTTACTATATGAAATTTCTTGACACATGGCATCACTATCACTTTCTTAATCCTTATTTCAACTGTGCCAATTTATTTACCTTTTACTAGCTAAAGACATTTCCTTTTGATATCAAGGAAAGTAAAGGCTTTTTAAAAGAAGGTCTTTGCCTCATAATTTCAACTTGAAAACTTTATTATATAGAGCCAACCCATTATTTATTATGTATGCTAATGCTAATACAACGATTAATGCCCATTAGCTTTTCTAGCCACAGCACTTTGCCGACAAGTTATAGTGGCAAAAAAAAAAAAAAAATTTCCATGAAACTTTTCAGTGCTCTTGTAAAAAGACCTAGAATCCTGTCACTGGAAAATGGATGTGAAATAAATACAAGGAATGCTTGCTTTACTTCCTCTCGAAACATTTTACTCATCACAAATGGGGAGAATTTGATTAGTAGCCCTTTGCTTAATTAAATGTTCAGATCTGAGAAGTCCTAGTGATTACAACCTGGACTAGGTGCCTGTGTTAAGTATCAAAGTCCCAAGAAGCTTAGACCACTATATTCCTAGGTACTTACATTTGAAACAGAATAAAGCCTAGCTCTTGGAGACATTTCTGGATTCTAAAGCCCACAACAACTGGAGTTTATCTGGTTTCTGGAAAGATATGGTCATGTTACCAAAGATTAGGGTTGAGAATCTATAATTCTTTTCTTCCTACAAAAAGAAAAAGATTTTTCATTTATTTAAAACTTTTTTTCTCCTTTGCCAGGAAAGGTTAGCATAAGGAAGGGATAGCTGCTTCTTCTGTATATAAATGGAGAAAATCTATCTATTCGTCTTTTGTCTGAGGAATGAATATCTGACCACTCTTACAGGAAGAATTCACATGAGTTCTTATTGCAGTGTCTGAGGGGTAATGACAGTAATGAGTGAAACTCATTCCTTGCTGTTAGGTAGAGAATAATGTGTCTGTGAATCCAGATCACCTAGTATGCATTTCAGAATAAACTTTATAAAGGTGGATTTTAAGAAATACCATAGGTTTATCAGAATAGTAACCATATATAGAAATATGAGTTGAAATTTTTATGATATTCTTTTCAAGGCAAGCATTCTTTTTATTTCCAGATTCAGTATAAAAGATGTAGAAGAATGTGCCAAGAATGTACACAGCTTCATAGAGGAAAAGCAGGAGAAGAAAAGGCCTCCTAAAGCTGATAAAGAAGCTCATGACATGGCTAACAAACTTCGAAAAGTTAAGAAATCCATTGAGAAACAAAAGACATTGTAAGTACTTCACCAAAAAATTGGCCAGCAAAGACTTAATATACCTTACTGTCCCTGTAGTAAATATACATTGAGTGTGTTCTACAAGGAAGTTCTAGATATTGTTTGCAGTTAATTGCAAATTTGTAAGGGAGAATTATATTAGTCAGCTTTCCTGTAGATGGAAGGCAATACGGATACCTACAGCTAAAAAGTGGAGAGGTTTCATTTGGCTAATGGTTTCAGGGGATTCACTTCATATTCTAAGCAGGAGCATCATGGTTAAAACATGTGGTTGAGTAAAGCTGCTTAGTTCAAGGCAGCAGGGAAGGAGAGCAGGGGAACAATGCCAGAGTAGAAGGGACAAAAAACCAGAAATGCCAGCCAAGTCATACATCCGTGCCACACCCATACACACTTAGAAGTGTGCTTTACTAATCCCAAGGGTAGACCCCAAACCAAAAAGTTAATGATCCACCTGAACCATCTCAAGAACAGATAAACATAACTGATCAAACTCTGTAATGGCATAGACAGGTCTCATTTAAAAGGAGAGGCAGGTTCAGTCTGTTAGTCTAGGTAGATTGTATAACTTCACATAATCATCCTGAATACAGTATGTGTGACCCATGTACGAACTCTTGCTCTCAGTCAGCCCTCAAAAGGCTTATATGTTGTCTTGGGTCACTACACAGCATTGCAGCATGCTCCATGGAATGACCTTGGGACTGGATTGAAATCCAGTTTTATTCCTGGTAGGACTTGGCTATTTTGACATCTCTTAAGTACTTTCTATGTGTCTCTCCTTGGGGCCTCTTCATCCTTCTGCCTGGTTAAAGGTTCATCATGTCTTCATTGGATGATTTCAAAAGTCTTTTTGCACTTCAGAGCCTCAAAGGTCATCATTCTCCAATGTAGTTTACAGGTGTTCTTGCAAACATTTAATTTGTAAATGATCCACATTCAATATTTTTTCTACTTCCTGGTTTAGCAGATGAAGTCTATTTCCTTAATCACTTACATTCTATCTGGCTCTTTGGTTGTTTCCTCCTGAGGAGGGAAGGTGGCAAGCCCAGATGGAAACAATATGAGAGGTATAAACCCACAACTTCAGGGCTTTAGAATCCACATTTCAAGTTAGTTAAGTGATCAGGTAAGAGATGTTCTGCCTCTGATCTTGTGCATTAGAAAGTCACACTCTGACCCCAATTTAAGCATCCATTTCAACAAAAGGAAGAGGCACCCAGAACCTCACTCTTTTTCTCTTTTAAATTCCAGGTATTATGGTGCTATAGTTGTCAAACTAGAAAAATAGAATGTACAGTATATTATTCCACCATCTGTTACCTTGATTAAAAACCCATTAATAGTATGTGGGTCTCCATAAGTGCTCACCCCATTATTTGCAACATATTCATGGATTCTCCTTGAGTGAAGGTCAATGCTGGTTGGAAGTGAGAACACTGCATGACAAATACAAGTGAGCTCCACTTCCCAGAATTAAATTTGACTTCTGTGCACAGTTAGGAAACAAACTAAAAAATCAAAAAAGGGTAAGTGTTGAGCACTTATAAAAGGCTGTTATATAGCAGGCTACTGGGTAATTCAGGGTGATGACTCCGGAGACTAATCAGGATTGTGGAGGGGTGTATTAGATCAAAGCCCCTAGTAGCACAGGCTGACATGCAATATCTCTGTGAGTTCTAGAAGGAGTGTATTTGTGAGGAGCTAAGAAAGCGAGGGGAGCACAAATTGGACAGTGAGTAAGATAAGCAAGGATGCGGTTCTACTGGAATATTGTCAGAGTCGGCTTCCTGGGGGATCTGCAGTGGCCCTGAACTATTATACCTGAGTGAAGAGGGTTGATTTGTCTGGCCCATATCAGTCATTGGCTGTGGCCCACTTTCCTCACCTCCAACAGAGGTAGTAATTTCCTGGACAGGTCCAGGGGGTTCTTGTTAGTTCTGGCAATTCTCTTTGATTTTAGGATGTTAGTTGGAGGTGAGAACATCGAATGGTGAATAAAGGTATGTTCATCTACTCACATTCAGATTGCCTTTTTTGCACAGTTAAGGGATAAGCTAAAAAGTGGAAGAATCAGTCATTAGTGCTGTTAAAAAAAGGCTTAGCACTGTGGGAAGATCTAAGAGTAAAGCTGAGACTGCTGTACCAGACAGCCCTTAGCAATCAAACTCAAACTTAGCTATCAAACTGTTGCACCTACTTCAAGAAGTAAGGAGAAGAACTTGGTACTTTTCTAAGCCAAGTGTCACAAAGGCTGAATATGATCATCACATTAGCAAGGAGAAAGTAGTCATCTGGTTGAAAGCATATTGCAAGGAGAAAAAGAAATATCACCAAAAAACCCCCAGTATGTGATGACATTTTCCCAGGAAAGATCTAAGCTCTGGAGGCCAAAGTGCTGTGTGTTCAAACAGGCAGTTCAGAATTATGACAGCACAGATGTGTACAGTAGTGAATGTTGGACTGATAAGAGTGATTTAGGAGTCTCGGGATTCCTATGGTGGTGGAATATGTACATTTATTTCTTAAAATGTGATTTTCACAAACAGAGATAAAAAAAGCAAGAAAAAACCAATAACATTGGACCAAACCCTCATACATGAAGCTGAACATAATTGTCTACTGAAAAGTTTAGAGAAGAACCTGGAAATTCCTCAGGACTGTACATATGCTGATCGAAAAGTGATGGATGCTGAGGTCAGTGCTTAGAGGGGCATAGATCTCCAGGAGGATATGTCATTTATAAGCCATAGCTTCCTCATTATAGACAGTGATTAATGGGAAGACAGGATGCAGTCCCTAGAAGCAGAGAAATCCCACATAGGACTCCATATGGAACCTTCTGTCCACACATAACCCTCGAGGACTCCTTGATGTATATTTAAAAAAGAGTGTTCACCTTTGAGACTGTCTTTTCCATTATGTATTTTTCCATCCCTAAATTGTAGACTTCAGTGTCACAAGTCTCATTTGAAAATTTGGGTACATGTGGTCTAAAATTCTTTAAGAAATATTTGCAGAATTTTTTGATACCAGAGATTTTCTATATTACAGATAAGTCCACCAGTGAGATACTAGAATTCCTAAATGTCTTTTGCCATTCATCTTTGAAACTATTTTGTTCTGCAAATTATTCATGCTTACAGTACAGAAATTTGAAAACCAACACTAAAAGCAATGTTATCACTCAGAAATAATCACCGTTTTAAAGATGAACCTTTTGTTTCTTTTACCTACTTCTACAACCACATCCACATTCTATTCCATATGTTTGTATACTTCATGGTCTCTTCCTTTTTCATAGCCATGTATTTTCATCACCATTTGAATGGATCCATGTATTCCATTGTACGAATGAATATGTAGTTGAAAGAACCATCAACCAGCCTTTTGCTTTGGATATTTAACCTTTTTTCTTAACTGTCACAAGCAGTGTTTACTTTCCTACAAATTAGTCTAGACACAACTGAACTTCCTCCACAGAACAGGGCATCTTAAGGCCATTTGTAACTAATCTGCAGTGGGAAGTAAGCTTTCCTTGACCTTGTAGTGCAGGGAAGAATTCTGTCTCACAGAAGTCTGAATCTCTGGGGAAACCTGCAAGGGCTCCTGTACTGACTCACTCTCCTTCAGGCAAGCATGAGTCCTGAACGCGTTCTTTCCGGGGTGTTTCTACTGCTCTGTCAGAACTTTTTATCCCCAAAGTGGGTGTGAGTCCCTTTGAGACAGTCTGTTCAAAGAATTGAGAAAATTTTTCTTGTAGTTACTATTTTTGTCCAAAAATGTGGTTTTTTAGTCATGTCAAGTTGATTTCTACAGTTGCATCAAATTCTTTTTAAAAATTTTTTTTATTTTAAATTAATTTTATTGGTACAATTTAGATATAAACAATGATCACATTCATATAGGGCATTTGTACCTATTGGATAGTAATTTTCATCTAAATATTTTTGACTGATTTAAAGTTAGATAAGAAACTATCAAAATCCTTAAATTTCTTGCTTTGTTCAGTTATTGAAGATGGTGTTTGATCGCGTAAAATTCGAAAGAAAAGGTGCAGAACTCAAAGCTTTGGCAGAGAGTGGTATTGGATATCATCACAGCGCCATGAGTGCCAAAGAAAAACAGCTAGTTGAAATTCTCTTTCGAAAAGGATTCATTAGGGTAGGTAGACTTTTTCATTCCAAAAAAAAAGAAATGTGACTATATGAAGTTAATGGTCCTGAAAAATAAAACTATAACTATCCTTTTCTCATGGATGTCTTTTGTCATTTTTGTTTGTTACAACCCATAATGTGACAGTATTTCCCCGTCTTATTTAATTGGGGGAGGATTTTTAAAGTTTATCATTCAGTTATTTAGTTTTCTTAAAATAAAAATATTTCCTTAACAGATGATTTTCCCAATATTTCTATTGTAAAATACACCTATGCTGATATTGGCACAACACCTTGCTTTTCATTTATAGTATTTAGAAAATTGTGCATGCTGTTTATGTGATTTTGGCTACATGGGTTTGGAGGACATTTGTTGTAGAGTTGTGATCAGATCTCTGTCTAATATAATAACTGAAATAAAGGCATGAATATGTGTTTTCCAAGGCTCTCCTGCTTATTTTAGCGGTTTTTAGAGGTGTTAATTTTTTGTGTGTATGTGAGCTATATTACCAGGCTTTTTTGCATTTTGAGATAGGTTCTCACTAAGGTGCTAAGGTCCCCTGTCTGGGCTCCAACTTGGAATCTTCCTGCCTCAGCCTCCCATAGTGCTGAGATTACAAGTGTGTACCACAAAGCTCAATTTAGAGATGTCTCTTCTAAATGTTCTCTTTCCTGTGGCTGACAGTGGGAAAGAGTCAGATTACCTTACATAAATTCCAAAGCAAACCTTTGCTATAATTTGTTGAATATGTACCATGAGGGAACATGAGGCTGGTCTGCAGTAATTCGTAAAGAAGTGTGGATAATTTGCTAGTGAATTTGAATCTTGAGTGTTATTTAAGAGTAGACCCAGGGGCCAGTGATTTAGCTCAGTGGTTCCAGAACCTGCCTCGCCAGCGCAAGGTCCCTAGTTTGATTCCTGGTGCCAAAAAGAAAACAAAACCAAAAAAGAGTAGACCCTGTCTTTTAAAAGTTACCTACATAAAATTTTTTCTGGCATATGCTGCATTCAGGAGATAGTGAGAGAAAGAGAATGAGAGAGACAAAGAGATATATGAATTGTTCTATGCTATGTAGCATAATCTTTTACTCATCACAACCTACATGTAGCAGAAAATCTGACGGCAAAATTAAAGTGGAATTTTTTTATCTGGAAAAGCAAAATACATTTTTAACAAATTTACTGAGTTTTTAATTTAACTAATGAAATGTTATTTGTTAAAAATTAATTGCCAAAATTTCTACATGATTATGAATTAAAGGACAGTAGGCATGCCTATTTTGATGAGCATATCCTACTTCTAAAATAGTATCTACTTATTTGTCCAATTACTGATAGTTTAGTAAACAAGTAGATCTGTCTAGAGAAGGTCAATGGAACTAGTTCATTCTTTTAAAGAACACATTTTGAAAATTATTTTTTCAATTAAATTTCTTTATTTTTCCATTATTGTTTTTATTAAAAAACTTTATAAAAATATTTTAAAATTGTATGTAACATTTTGACAGATACATAACCTCAGTTACGGAATTACTCTGTATACATAAACATTAACAGTAAGCAGAGTATAGATGTCAATCAATACAAAAAGAAAGAAAGAAAAATAAGAAATACCTAACATTAGATAAAAATAAGCAAGAAGTTGAGTTATGCAGGTAAACTGTAGAGTTTGTGCCATACTCTTCATGTTCAATTGTAGAAATTAGGGTGGGGGTCTTATTTTGTTCTTATTACCGAGATATATTATTTCTATGGATATCTCAATTTTAGTAGAGGAAGTAAAAACTGACCATATTAGGTTTATAACAGGATTATTGGCCTTCATGTAAATTTTCTTTCTAGTAATTTATTTAAAAATATTAACACCTGTAATGTGCCAGGTGCCCTTTTTGGTGGTAGGGATACAGTGGCAGGTAATGCATGGAGTCCAGTATAAGTCAAGTCAACAAACAAATATTATTACTGAGGTTAGTTATTAGCCCTGCAAAAATGAATAATGTAGAACTGAGAAGTAGATAATGATGGGAGAGAATGATTACTGTGTGGTTGCTCAGAAGTTTCTCTGTGACATTTGAGCAAACAACTGAAGGAGCCACACAAATGAATATTTGGGGAAGGGCATTCTGCTCACACAACTAACATTGTAACAGCCTTGATGTGAAAATATTCATGGTGTGTTTGTGAAATAGAAAAAAATAATAGTGATTCTAATAGGGATAATTTTCACACTGTATTTAATTAAAGTTCAAAGAGGTTTCAGTAATTTTGTGGAAGGAAATAATTGCATTCTATTAAAAGGCTTGCATGCAGTATTTTTTTATTCTCTTTGTAGGTGGTGACAGCTACCGGAACACTTGCTTTAGGAATCAACATGCCTTGTAGATCTGTGGTTTTTGTCCAAAACTCAGTCTATCTGGATGCTTTAAATTACAGACAGGTATTGCAATATGTATATGCTTGCTTAATAAATTGCTAAAATGTGGTCATAAAATAGTAAGAAACATGTAAACCATCATTTTTCAGACACGCTGCAGTTCACAAAATGGCACACCTGGCATTCATCCCTGCCTGTGTGCCATCTTTAGCTTGGTATAGTGGAAAATATAGGAGTTTGGAATTTGGTGACTACTGCTGATCGGGTGTGGACCTTTCATGACATATCTAAACTTCCTGATCCTCCTGATCTATCTCCAGAATATGGGTGACAATTGTAATCTCATGACATTTACAAGAATTTAAGGAAGCAATTTATAAGAAAGATGCATATCCTAGATGATAAATAATTACCTGTTTCTTTATGATGCACAAGATTTTACACACTGGGTTTAATGCTTTTTTCTTCTTTGCTTATGACACACAATCTGTTATCAAGCCTGGTTAATTGTTCTCCTTAGTGATATTGGATTTTTGCCTTAAATCTCTGCATCTACTGTCTTTCATGATACAGCGTTGGCCAAATGGAACAATTTCCTTGATTTTAGATTCTACTTATTCTGTGTCCCCAAAACAGCACAGTGCATTGATGGCGAACCTCTTAGAGATTGAGTACCAAACTGCAACCCAAAACTCATTTATCACAAAATGCCAGCAAGCTGGCACCTGAATACTGAATACTGAGGTTTTAGTGTAGAAAAAACAACTTTACATTAACATCTTTTTTTTTTTTTTTGGTACTGGGGATGGAACTTGGGTCCTTAGCTTGCGAGGCAGGTGGTGGAACCACTGGACTAAATCCCTGGCACATTAATATCTTTGGTCTAAAAAGAAAAACATAATAATACGTGTGCCATCATTTTGCCCCACTGGCATAGTGTCTTCGTACACTTTCTCTGCTCATAGACATTTGGTTAATATTTCTGAAGGCAAGACCAAATTTAGATATATTACCCAACATTTATATTTTTATCAAAGGCATCCCCTTTGCTTCTTCAAACACTTCATATTCTCTTATAGATGGTGTTCTTGCTCAATTGAACATTCTTAAATTTTCCCACTAACTTACCAGTCCCTGTCTTTTCATTTCTATTCCTGCTGTTATATTCTACATGAACTTTCCTGGAATCTCATCTTTGGGTCTCTCATATTTAGGGTTTGTTATCCAGGATGTTAGCATATTTGGGATGACAGACTTAGGAATTGAGTTGCCAGAGCTGAGTCCCAGATCTTCCACTTTCTAGGTGTTTGACTATGGTGAATTTCCTTATGTAGTCTTCTCCATGCCCTAGTTTCCACATTATGGCCATAGCAATTTTATAAATCTTATATGTTATTGGGAGGGCTATATGACAAAAAAAGAAAGAGAACCTAGCACTTTCCATGTACTTAATGAGAATTAATATAACCTCTGTCAAGAATTTATTCTTAACTTGTTTTATAAGTGGCATTTCTGACTTTCATCTTGCTCTTGTATTTCCATGATTTGTGCAAAGTATTTATTTTGTGATTCATAGCTCAATACTTTTATGTGAGAAAAGGGCAGAAGAGAAAAGAATCAGAGAGAGAAAGGACCCGAGGAGTGAGAAAAAAATGGTACAACAGAGTTCATCTGTAAGTGAAGTTAAAATCAGGTCCTAATCTTTTTATGTTACCTTTTTTGTTCCACGTATCATTATACAGATACCTGGTAGAATTCATGATATGAAATAAGTACATAAGAATGATAAATGTCTCGTCTTCCAACTCTGACTCAGTTATGGTAAATCTCCTAAGGCCTAGATGGGTGGATTTTATGTCACTTAAGTAACATTTGGACCTATGCATAATCTACTTGTTTGAAAACAACAGACAAGGCTCAGTTTTATGCTGTCATAGGAAAATTAATTAGAGGAATTTCACATTGTGAGTCTATTCTGTCTCAGATGTCTGGTCGTGCTGGAAGACGGGGGCAAGACCTTCTGGGAGATGTATATTTCTTTGATATTCCACTGCCTAAAGTAGGAAAACTCATAAAATCCAAAGTTCCTGAGCTCAGAGGACAGTTCCCTCTCAAGATAACCCTGATTCTGCGACTCATGCTGCTGGCTTCCAAGGCGGATGACCTAGAGGATGGCCAGGCAAAGGTATCATCCTGGGTGCAACCTGCAGCAGACCTTGGCCACTGGTCTGGCTGCAGGTGGGTCTGCTGGGGGTTTTTCCCAGTAGTCTATAGCAACAGCCCTTCACTTTCATAGGTATTTAATGCTTTTTATTGCCTTCTAGAGACGACTATGTGGAATAGAAGAGAATAATGATTACTTTTGTTTGTTTGCTGTATCCAACATAAATTTTTAGCTTGAAGAGCTTTGGAAATCACCAGGATGTTGTTTTCTTGTGTGATAGACATGGTCTTACTGTAGATAAGGGTGGTGGGTGTGGATATAAAAAGATCTGGGCTAGATTCCTGTTTCTTCAATTTAGAAGGAAAGTGGTACATTTTTATGATTCTGAAGTAAAAGTTTGTTTTTTCATAAAAAGTAATCTAGTTCATTAAAGACTATTCAAGAAAGTTGAAAGAAGAAAAGCAGTACGTGCATCTAGCTCTAATACCCAAAGACAATCACATTATTGTTTTGCTTTTGTCATTTTTTTCTAAGGTATGCTTGTGCTTTGGGATTTTTTTTCTTCCATTTGAATTTTCAGTACAGATGAAGTTATGTATAATTGGACTTCAGAAAATGGTTCTAAGCTTTTCCTGATGTTTGTGTTCACATAAACATTTTGAGTCCAATCCTACAAGAAGAGATTTAAAATTTATAACTAATTTCACTTCCATTTTTATGAAGATATGTTATTGAAAGGACATGTATGACTTCATTTCCTGTTGCTTATTACACCGTACCACAGATTCCGGAAGTGGAATGTCCAGGGCTTGGATCTAGTAACCTTCTTAGTGTCAGACCTTGTGGAGGCCAGAGTAGCACATGGGAGGAGAATGAGACTGTGCACCCATCTGCCTGGTCTCTCTTTCTCTTATTATAAAACCACCAGGATTCAATCTTGGGGTCACTACCCTGTTAAATTTGCCTAATTTTAATCACATCTCAAAGGCTCTAGACACTAGAGTCAGATTAATTTTGCACCCTTAATACCTCACAAGGGGGAATACATTTCTGCATAAGTTCAGGAAGTCAAACTATATTCACTCCATAGTAATAACTATTCTTCCCTATTGTTGTGTATTAATTAGTGTGTTCAGTTAAATCACACATTTTCCTATTTCAAATCTTCTCCAAGATTTTCTATTTTATAGATCTCTCTTAAAATTGACATTTTATTTATCACATGATGAGACTTTTCAATCTGGAAGTGCTAGGATTTTTATGGTGATAAAAATCACATGGGACATCAAATTTACAACATCAGTCATTTCAAATATACAGTTCAGTAGTGTTAAATACATGCACATTCTCAAGTACTTTTTGAACTGGAAAAGAATTCTTAAATTATGTATTTGTTATTTGCTTGTGTTTAATTTTTTCTTTTTTAAGAAAAATATCCAAATCTGGTGGTTTGCCAAACAAGTGGATATATAAAATGTCTTCTGGAGGACTCTGCCTAACTAAATGCTATTAATTAAAATATCTTTTCAAACCTAAGGCTTGATGAAGAGCTTTTTGCCAAACTATTAGTATTAGCCTATCTTCATTTTTAGTAGCTTTCCTTAACTGAAAGGTCATCCTCTACTTCTTACCAGTTTGGCTGGCCCATTGGTCACAATGGATGTCATTAATCATCATAAACTACAGTAAGCAGTTTTAGGATTCCAACCATGCCACTTATAATTCAATTTTGGAGTCCATATTTCTAAGGTCACAGTGAAGCAAAATGAATTCCTCACCTCTCTTACTACTTTGATTTTCTCTGTTGTTGCCTTCTCTGACTAAATGGCGCATGAAGAATGTGGCACAAGAGGTTGTAGAAAAGGTCATTTCTGGTGACTCTGAAAAAAAATCACCTCACAGCAATGGAGCGATATCCTTTTAGCTCTCTTCTTCTCTCACTTTTCCTTAGTCCATTGCCCTTATAGAAAGTGTACTTTCTAAACTCTCAGCCTGAATGAAGAGAAGGTTAAATTTTGATGTTACCAGGAACTTTTTCTTTTATTGAGATTTCATAGACATTTTAGTAAGAACTTGAAAGCCTTACGAAATGCAGTGCTTTTTGACACTGGAAACTAACCAGCATTTTTAATTTTGTGGTTTTAATAAACCTAGTTCTATTATTTGTGTGATAATACTGAAGGATATGGAATAACATATATATCTCAATATCTATCTATCTCCTTATAAAACAAATGAAATGCTATAAGTTCTTCAACTGGAAGGTCTTTTTTTAGCAGATTCCTCACAATATGTTTCATTTCTGACAATTCTGTTTTAAGATTTCTTTTTGTTTTGGTATTGGGGATCAAACTCGGGTCCTTGCTCTTGCAAGGCAGATGGCAGAACCACTGAGCTAAATCCCCGGCTCTCTGACAACTCTGTTTTTTTTTCCCATTAAGTTTATTGGTACATTTTATGTATAAAATACATTTACATACATCACTGGGATCTTGTACCATTACATTAGTCTCTTGGTTCTTATTTTTTTTCCCCTTCCCCTGCCCTCCCTTCACCCCCTCCACCCTTCCCTATTTGCAAAGACTTTGTTTCCATTTTTTTC